TAGAAATTAAAATTGAGAGAACATGACACTTGAAGTATAATGTTTCTCCTGTTCCACTGGACTAGGATTTGCCTGTGCAAATTAACTCATGTAGAAGTGGGTTCAAGACTTCATTATCCAAAAGTAATGTAATTGGGGATCACATTTATGAAAAGCAAAAGGCAAAAGTACCCATTTTGTGTGTTCTTTGATCATCATAAGCCGTAAGTATTATATATTCAAATTTCTATTCTGCAGACTAACAAAAATGCTAAAATAAAACACATTAATGTTACCTTAAAATGCAAATATGCATAAATAATAAGTCTAGGGGTACCTGGGTGTCTCAGTCAGTTGGGTGTCCAACTTTGGCTCACATCATGATATTGTGACTTATGGGCTTGAGCCCCGCATCTGGCTCTGCACTGATAGCTCAGAGCCTGGAGCCTGCTACAGATTCTGGGCCTCCCTCTCTGTCCTTACCCTCTCTCACACTCTGTCTCTCTCTCTCTTTCTCAAAATAAATAAACTAAAAAAAAAAGATAAAAAATAATAAGTTTAGCATAATGCCAGAAATAACAAAACATAACAGAACACAGCATTTCCAAATACTACCACATTTCCAGCACCAGGAGAAAATTATCTTCTATTTAAATTTTGCATACCTTTTACAAAATTAGACATTTAAAACTTTTTCTGTTGTGATAGTTTTTTTAAGAAGTAGAAACTGTAAGGGCACATGGGTGCATCAGTCAGTTAACCATCCAACTTCAGCTCAGGTCATGATCTCACAGTCTGTGAGTTCGAGCCCGGCATTGGGCTCTGTGCTGACAGCTCAGAGCCTGGAGCCTGCTTCGGATTCTGTGTCTCCCTCTCTCTCTCTCTCTCTCTGCCTCTCCCCCAGCTCTCTGTCTCAAAAATAAATAAGCATTAATTTTTTTTTAATTAAAAAAAAGAATTAGAAGCTTTAGCAGTTTTTATTCAAGCTTCCAAATTCAACCTTAAGCATCATTTCTACTTTGTAGAGAATTGGCCAGTAGGGGGCATACATGACCAAGCCATTTAATATGTTTCTATCTGCTATTGCAAATTTTGAATTTTAGATAACAGCATGCTCTTGAAGCCAAAGGTATATTTTCTTTAAAACCACCTATCAAACAGCCAAAAACAAAAACTTTGATAATTTGACTTTCAGTCTCTTTTTTTCTCATGAGCTACCAAGTCCAAGTCTTACCTTTGTTTTCAACTACGATAAAATTAAATTTATAACAGACAGACATAGTAACTTATCAGTTTGTTGTTATACAAGATTGGTAATGTCCATCAGCATCTGAGTGTCTGTTTCTAAGTGCCTACACTGCTCATCTAGTTATATATATTATCTAATCTAGGCCTTACAGCATACCTATGAATATAGTGTTGTTGTCATCTGTAAGATGGAGAAATGAGAGATTTTTTTAAAAATCACAAATTATGTAGCAGAATAGAGAACTGGACCCAGTTATGTCTAATTCTAAAGTTTTTGTGTGACATTATTTCTCATTTTTTTCTGTTTTAATTGTGAAATATACAACACATGCAGAAAAGTACACAAAATACAAATGCACAACTTAAAAATAACTATAAAGCAAATATCCATTTCACCACCACCGTGTTCAAAATAAAGGACATTTTCGCTCCTACAGAACCACCAAGTGAGCCCTGATTCTTCACAACCCCATACCCTTGAAAGGTAACCACCATTTTAATTTTTATAGTCATCATTTCCTCTCTTATTTAGAAATTTTGTGAAATGTATATAAATCTATTCACAATGTAAATATTAATTCATGTCTTTATTCTTTTGGTCAATACTGTATTTGCAATATTTATACTGATACATATAGTAACTGTTCTTTAATTTTCTTTCCTACATGAAATGAAATACTCTATGTAGTATACATCAATTTATTATCTTCCTTACTGTTGATGAGCAGTACTGTTGATGGGTTGTTTCTGATTTGGGATGATAATGAATAATGCTACAATAAAAATTCTTATACATGTATTTAAATGCACATATAAAGAGTATCCCTAAGATACATAATTGGGAGTCAAATTGCCAGTTCATCAGGTCTGCCTGCATATCTTCACCTTTACTGGAAACAATCCAAAAGTCTGTTACCAAGTGAACAGATAAAGAAATGTAGTATATTCACACAATGAAACACTACTCAGCAATAAAAAGAAAGAACTACTGACACATGCAACAATATGGATGAATCTCAAAACGTGCTGAATAAAAGAAGCCAGACACAAAGGAACATAGTCTATAAAATTTCATTTATATAAATTATAAAAAATGAAAACTAACTTCCAGTGGCAGAGTGCAGACCAGTGGTTGTCTGAGGACCAGAACAAGAGGTGGAATAAAGGGAATGGATTACAAGGGCACTTGTATTTTAGGGGGGTAGGGAGTGATAGAAAGATTTCTTATCATGATTGTCAAGATTATTTTACAGATGTATTCATATGTCAAAACTCACCCAATTTTACACCTTTACTATATGCATTTTATATGGCAATTAAATCTCAGTAAAAGTAAAAAAGAATCAGATTACTTTAGTTTCAATATTTTTTATTACTAATGATATAGAACATTTATCTTCTGTACTGGATATTATAATTTCCTTCTTCTTTAGAGTTCCTTTTCAAGTCTTTTGTTCATTTTCTTTTATATTTCAGTTTTCTTCGAGATCTGTAGAATTTCTTTATACATCTTTTCATTAGTTCTTTGCTAGCTGTATGTACTTCCACACCTTGCTGTGGCTTTTCACTACCTTAATGGGATCTCTTGAATATAAAAGTTACTGATTTCAATGTAGCTGAATTTTCACCTCTTTTGAGGTTAAGCTTTTTGTATCTTGTTTAAGAAATATGACTTAAGAAATATTTCCTCACTCCCAAGGAATAAAAGTACTCTTCTATTTTATCTTCTAAAAGCTTTTTAGCATTTAGAAACTTAGTCCACCTAAAGTAGACTTTTGGTTATGATGTGAGGAATTCAGAGCTTTTTTCCCCATATGGATGACCAATTGACTTGACCATTTATGAATTGTTTGTTTTTCTATTCATCTGCGATGCTACCCCGTCATAGAACGAATGTCCAGACATGCTTGAGTCTGATTCTGGACTCTCTGTTCTGTTCCATTAATTTATCAATGCATCAAAGTCAACTTACATTTTCTTGATATATCTCTTTATACCTGTTTTCCCACTTTGTTCTTCTTAAAGAAAGTCTTGGATATGTTTGACCCTTAACACTACTTTGTTAATTTTAGGATAATGTCAACTTCTTCATGATGCTACTTCTCATTTTCAAGCTATATTTACAAATTGAAACATGGTATGTTCACATTATGAAATCTTTATTATAATACAAAATCAGAAACACCCAAAATCATATGGTTTGTTTCCATATAGCTATAAATCAGAAAAAGCTTAATGCAACCTGTATAGAATATATTGTTGACCTATAAGGAAATTATTAGAGCCACCCATTAACATTAGAATAATAGAATCAATGAGAATAAATGATCTTTACCTATGTAAATAATATGAATCAAACAAATACACTATCTCATGAAAGAAGTCAGACCCAAAAGAGTAAATAGTACATGATATTATGTAAGGGATAAAAAAGCACAAGGCTAATCTACACAATTAGAAGTCAGAAGAGTGGATATCTGGGGCATAAAGGGGACTTGTAGGATGTTCCGTTTCTTATCTGAGTTCTAGTTTCATTGGTTTGTTAAGTATCAAAATGTACTGAGCCATACAATTGTGAACTGTGTACTTTTTATGTGTATATATTACTTTAATAAAAGGATTTTTAAAGAAATTATTAATGATTTTAGACTTACTAATAAGACATTCTTTATAATATATATGAGAAACTAGATGTAAGACTTCCCTAAATATAAGATACATATTGTGGTACCTCTCCAGCTCAGTTAATCCAACAGTGGTCATGTCCATAATAAGCTCCCTTCTTCTTTTTTTTTAAAAAAAATTTTTAATGTTTTATTTATTTTTGAGACAGAGAGAGACAGAGCATGAGCAGGAGAGGGGCAGAGAGAGAGTGAGACACAGAATCTGAAGCAGGCTCCAGGCTCTGAGCTGTCAGCACGTTGTCAGCACAGAGCCAGATGCGGGGCTCAAACTCACGAACTGCTAGATCATGACTTGAGCCAAAGTCGAACCCTCAACCAACTGAGCCACCCAGGCGCTCCATACTCCCTTCTTCTAATAATATATCACTCTTCCTGGGCAATTATGACTTAATTCTCTTCTGGAAAAGAGAAGTGATTGTTCCCAGAGGTCAAATATACGATTTGAGCTAGATCAATTGCAGTCCATTTTTGGAGTATTTCACAATGACACGGGAAAAGAAAATCCTCTTCCTTTTCGGGTCATGAGGCTAAGTGAATGCCAATTTGAAACCTGGATTCAGGTGGTTTAAGATTTATCAAGAATGCTAACCTGAAAGAATGACAGCAATAAGCACAAAGAATGAAGCAGAGGGTGTATAACTGTGTGTGTGTGCATACACATGTGTGTGCACTTGTGTGTGTGAGAAAGAGTGAAAGAGAGAGAGAGAACACCTTTTGAATCCCTAGACTCAACCATTTCTGAGGCAGTTTGGTTCAACCCCAGCCTTTTCTATGGTTTGATTATTTTTTATTCATGTAATTCAGGTTGAGTTTTGTCACTTGTAGCTAAAATAGTTGTAATTGACAGAGTAATCAAATATAGTCCTTGTTAGTCTTAATCCTCCAGAACTCTTACTAATATTAATAGTCACATCCTGGAAGACAGTTTCAGATATTAAACAAACAAACAAAAAAAAATATCTGTAGGGGAAAGAATACATTAACTGGAGACCCAAAGAGAAGCTCAAATACTTTAGTATATGTGCTTCTGAAGGGAGCACTCAAATACTTTAGAAATAAAAATAAGAAGGCAAAATAAGACGATGTGGGTGAGGATGAGAACATGCTGACAAGTTATATTAAAATAAACTTTTCCAAAGTCACACACACGCACACTGAAGTTAAACTCAAGTTTTACAAGAAGAAACTTCCATTTTCCACAGATACAGAAAATAAATCCAAAAGAAATCACAATCTTTTTTTTTTTACAATTAATGGCTTTAAATCTTGCTGCTCCTAGTTATTGGCAGGTATTAAGATTTTGTAGGGCATCTTCATCCCAGACATAAATAAAACATGCCCCTTCTGTTTCATCTATTTCTCTTTTTCCTGTATTTTCTTATTTCTCAATTTTCACTCTTCAGTGATGAGATAAAAATTACTAGTATGTGAAGGGTTCACGTATTTGTTTCCTCCTTTTACATACTTGATAATTCCTTTTCTCCAATCTCTGATAAAAGAGAAACAAAATATTCTTAATGGTTTATTTAAGGAAAAGCAACCAGCAGGAAAAGGAATATTCCAATCTCCCCTTTGGGAGTGCATGTGCCCATCAAGAAGAGAAGAAATGGAGAAAACAAGATGGCGGAGTTAGTAGTAGCATGAGAATGTCTTAGTAGTTTGCAAGTGAGAGAGAATAAAGAGGATATTATATTCTAATTTGATTTCTCACAAACTAAAATAAGATTTGAGTATAGATTGAAACTTCTTTCTGTCTGATCTTTGATTGAAACAGTGCAGCATATTGTTGATAGAGGTTGAAAGAGACTGCATGTAATGCTAAAATCTGAGGTCATAAATCTGAAAGGCACATACATCTGCCATGGGCATTAAGACCATCCTGCTACATGGCATTAAAAGAAACTCTGAGGAGGGAGACACGTCAAAAAAGTCAAGTCGAAAAAGGCAGAAATGTATGTACCAAGAAAGAGGAATGTAATCAAGGGACGCCTGGGTGGCTCAGTTGCTTAAGCGTCTGACTTTGGCTCAAGTCATGATCTCACGGTTCATGAGTTTGAGAGTTTGAGCCCCGCATCAGTCTCATTGCTGTCAGTGCAGAGCCTGCTTCAGATCCTCTGCCCCTCTCACTCTCTGCCCCTCCCCTACTCATGCTCCCTCAAAAATAAATAAACATTAAAAAATTTAAAAAGTAAAAAAGGCATATAACCAAAGATCACATCTGATCAGAAACAATGTTGATCCAATCCATATCAGTGTCCCAAGCAAAAAACGCATTTCAAGAGAAGAGGGCAAGGATACAGCTTGGGATGTTCAAACAGTACAAATGACAGAAGTGCATCATTTCAAAGATTCTATCTTAAGACAGGAGAAAGAGAAGTAGTACAAATCTGTGGGATATACCCCTAAGGGTGGGAAATCAGGAAAAGTGAGGGGAAAGAAAAACACATCTGGCCAGTGAGTTAAAGAGTAGGACCATTTACAGGACAGTGATCCATAGAGACACAATGAACTGCCAGGTACCCAATAGATCCAAGCAGAGAGTAGCCACACAGCTGATTCCTTCAAGTGTTTACAGCACTAAATTCTTGTTTCCTTGAGCGGTCAAATCTTCTAAGAAGTCATCTGAAATCCACAGCATATGTCTCAGCGCAGAGAGGATCAAAACATCTTTTATAGGGTCCAACTCCCACTCTGAGGTATAATTACTAACCACCAACATATCAGAAAGAGCAAATCCAAGTTTTTTGTGGACTGCCTCTAACTGCAATACAGAAACAGTGACAAATACTATTTCAGGTCAATACGCATTATGAAAGCAATAACAAAAAGCAGGAGCTTGGCAATAGTGTTCCTGTTAGAGAAAATGAAGATAGAGATCTGGTCCCATAAAGTACTTTCTTAAAGAACTTCACAAGGAGTCTTCAAAATCACTGCTAATTTTCATCAAGAATACACATAGTAGATTCCATATGAATTAGAAATTGAAAGGAACTAATAATTCTGTATAAAGTACTTGGAAATTGAAGCATTTTTAATACCCTTATGCTGGAGTCTATAATTTCCCTGTTTCCTATTAAAAGTTATTCTCAGGGGGCGCCTGGGTGGCGCAGTCGGTTAAGCGTCCGACTTCAGCCAGGTCACGATCTCGCGGTCCGGGAGTTCGAGCCCCGCGTCGGGCTCTGGGCTGATGGCTCAGAGCCTGTTTCCGATTCTGTGTCTCCCTCTCTCTCTGCCCCTCCCCCGTTCATGCTCTGTCTCTCTCTGTCCCAAAAATAAATAAAAACGTTGAAAAAAAAATAAAAAAAAAAAAGTTATTCTCAGGATTAATCTAGTTTTCCTAGACCAGTTTAATATTGATGTTCAATTTGTGCTTAAACTAATTTATCTATGGAATGATATTGCCCGGATTCAAAATAGGGTTCTGTTATTTCTTAGCACTGTCAAAAACACTGGCAAATATTTTACTCTCTGTGCTTTTGTTTTCTCATCTATAAAGTATGGTAATGACAGTACCCATCTCACAGGGTTGTTATAAGTATTGAATAAGAAAATTTATCACATATTTAGTACTCAACAAATATTAGCTATCATTATATCCTCCCAACTGGTATTCCCAAGTCCAGGTTCCTTTTGACTCTGATTTATTCTGCATGTGGGTGGCAAATTAAGTTTTATGAAGCTTTACTTTGGTTACACCACTACTCTTCATAGTAGCATCATCTACAATAGCCAAATTATGGAAAGAGCCAAGTGTTCATCAAATGATATATGGATAAAGAAGATATGTATATATATGTATATATATAAGATGTGTGTGTATATATATGTATATATATTATATGGATATAGTATATCTTATATATATGTATATATATGTATATATATATAATATATATTATGGATATACATATGGATATATATATTGTAGATCCATATATATGGATATATGTATCTATAATATATATGGATATATCATCAAACTAGATATATGGATAAAGAATATATTATATATATACATATATATATATATATGGAACTATTACTCAGCCATCAAAAAGAATGAAATCTTGCCATTTGCAATGACATGGATGGAACTAGAATGTATTATGCTAAGCAAAATAAGTCAGTCAGAGAAAGACAAACACCATATGATTTCATGTATATGTGGGATTTAAGAAACAAAACAAATGAACAAAGGGAAACACACACACAGAGGTAGAGAGAGAGAGAAAGAGAGAGATAAATCAAGAAACAGATTCTAATTTATAAAGAACAAACTGATGGTTACCAGAGGGGAGGCCGGTGGGGAGATGGGTTAAATAGGTGATGGGGATTAAGAAGGGCACTTGTTAGGGTGAGCACCAAGTGATGTATAGGAAGTCTTGAATTGCTATATTGTACACCTGAAACTAATATTACACTGTATGTGAACTAACTGGAATTTAAATTAAAAGTTTTTTTAAAAAGAAGAGAAAAAAATTGTTATGATTCCCCATAATGCACATCATTAAGTAAAGTCACCTCATGCAAATATAACTTTCATACTCTATCTCCCCCTACAAGGATTCAGCCCTCCACTAAACTGAATGACTCCATGCTCCCCCTACACACTGCTGTATTGATTTATGCTATCCTCATGGCCTGAATGTTTTCCCCTCTTTGTCTCTTCACCTCCTGAAATCCTCTTTCTCTTTGAAAGCTATTTCTCAGTACTCAACAAATATTACACTCCAGTAATGAAATCTTTCCCATACACTTTAACACAATATTTTCCTCCTTTAATCTTTCAATTTTATTTTGAGTCACTTCATGACATTGTCATAATCATACTCTGTCATCTTTTTCTCCTCTGACTCCCCCATCCCCTCACCTCCACTGATAAAACTGTAAGCTTTTGAGTGCAAGGAAGTTGTTTTAATTATCTGTGTCTGGTTAGAGACTAGCACACTGACTCGATTATGAAAGGTAATCAATAAATATTTGTTGAATTGAACCTAACTGAATTAAATTATAATAAATGGAATAATCTGTGTCATGTAAAGATGAATATATATTTAATTTTTAAATCTTGGGATATGATTTTGAATTATACAAGTAATTGTTTTCATTCTTAAGTTCAGTAGGTGTCCATTTTTATTTTTACACACAGTAATATCATGTGATTATAGTGACATATCCTAGAAAGTGTGTCTACAAAGAAGGACATCATTACCTTGTGCTTCACAGGAATACATCTGTATATGTCTGTAAGGTCACCTTTTGTAATCAGCTGCATGCTATCCACATGAGTGAGCAAAACCACATGTGGCATACCTAGGTCAAACAGATATGTGTCATTTTGATCATTATAGACAGCATCAGTACTTTTCAGTTAATCAGTTATCAATTATGCAATAGGCTACCAACGAAGCAATTCCAGATATTTGGGAAGGGCCATCACCCTTCAAAAATACCCCCCTCTAACCACTTATTAGTACTCAGAATTCCTCTGACATAGGAAATTCCCTTCAAGGCTTTCCATGGTATGAGACTTCAAATGAAACCACCTCTTGGACGAGATAACTAAAATTGATGCTACAGTGTTGGTGATAGGTTTCATTTCCTCTCCAAACAGTTGTTTTCATGGAGACTAGAGAAAAGACACCTAATAAACAAGATGGGGGAGAAAAGGCCTCAAGAAGGCAACAGAATGTGTCAAAGCATCCCAAATAAGTTGGTGTTCTGTTACAATGTTAGCAAGCAGCGCCCTGCGCACCACCCTTGCAAGGCTTTAAATTTCAGAGAGCAAGTAAATCACTCCATGCTTCTAACTTAATCAAAGTTAGAAGTGTGGTAAACTTGCTTTTTCCCAGACAGAATGGATAAGGCCAAGAAAAGACAGAATGGGGCACCATAATTCTCTAATCCTATTTACCTTCTCCTAAGACTTTTAACTGTCCCTTCCCTACTGAACATTTTACTTCCCTGATGCTTTTTCTTACTGAAATACTGTTTTCCATTTCTAATCACTTAAGGCTCAAGGGAAAATCTAGAACTTTTTGTAAATAAATTCATGCTAGGATACAGTGGTAGCAGGTAATGAGAACTGTGCCAAACTCTTCATATATGTTGATTTGTTTAATCCTTATAATAAATCCCTGAGTTAGGTGCTATTATCATATTAATTTTATAGATTAGAAGTTCAAACGTAGAGAGTTTAAGTCACTTGCACAAAGTTATAACACTATCAAGTGCTGGATTTGATTGAACTGCACTGATGGGCCAGGGAAGATTCACATATGCAATTTCTTAAGTTTTTCATCCTGTTCTGAAACCGTTCTACAATATAGTCTAATATATTACCCTTAGTGGTAAAGTGGAATGAGACTCACCACACTTTATCAATTGCCTTCGAATTTCTTTGATCTTTGCTATCATCTCATGAGAGATGTATTTAACAGAGTTGACATCAAGCACAAATGCCGCACAATGAATTCTGTCCTTCAGCAACGGGTAGTGAATATAGTTACAATGACTTGGTGTGATTGGGTTCATGGAGTTAAACTATAAGATAAACAAAATGCAACACATTAATTCTATGGATATTTATGAGCACATAAGATGTATCAGGCACTGTGCAAGTCTCTAATATTATGAGAATAACAATCTGGCAGAGAAGACAGTCTATGCAAGTAGCTATCAACCCTTTCATGCAGGCAGGTAAAGCTTCTGTGACAGAGGGACACATAATCTGGGAGCTACAAAGTACATGGAATTTGATAAAGGGAATGAAGGTATGGCAGACGGTGTTCTAGACAGAAGCAATGTGGGCAAAGGCGGAGATGAGAGCATACAGAAAGAAATCTGGTATCATCACACAGAAACCAGGGATGAAAAGTAGTTCAAAATGGGATGCATTTACTCTTGAACTGGCAATCCCTCTGCTGGGAATCTGTCCCGCATGTATACTGGCAAAAATACAAAATGATGTATGTACAAGCCTATTAATTTCAGCACTATTTGTAGTGGCAAAAGTCTAATATATCAATAGCAGGGAGTATTTCATGACTTCTCTAAAAAGAGGGGAACCACAAATCTGTAAGTATTTCTTATATAGTAAAAAAATGAAAGTAAATGAAAAAATTTTATATGGTTGCTTATAAGAAAAGGGGAGAAATGTATTTGAAGGGGCAGAGAAAGAAAATGAATTCTTTGAATCTACATTATTTTGTAAAGTTGAGTTTAAAACTATATTTCAGTACACCAAAATATATTGTATGTGGTTTGGGCAAATTTTAGTTGACCACTAAGTGTGGGTTCCATACTTTTGATCAGAATTTTGGTGTACTTTCTATGATGGCTTGGAGAATGTATATAGCAGCAGTCACAAACTCATGTGTTTATAGAGGTCTGGTAGGGAATAAAAATGAATGGAGATGTCTAGTGTAAGATAAATATATTCAAACAGGAAAAAGAGAGCTATATAAATTATAAACATAAATATAAAACATAATTTAATTTAAAAACCCATCCCTAAATTAAAATCAACAAAATTAACTTTTACCTCCATTTGGGGGTCCTCACTACACAAAGAGAGACCATTTCTGATTGTATGTTTTTTCTCATTGACTTTAAAGCACAGTAATTTGTATACTCCTACTACTTGATACACCCTAAATGTAAAATACAATAATATTTTTAAATAAATAAAAAATTAAATAAATAAATAATCTGGTTCAAATTTTAAACTCCGATTTTGATTATGATTATGTTATATTTATACTAAAATATTATACTAAAAGTGGTTATGATTAAACTGTTTATGGTACTGTAAGAATTTGTTTTTTTGTTTGTTTCAGAGAGAGAGAGAGAGAGCATGAGCAGAGGAGGGGCAGAGACAAAGGGAGAGAGAGAGAATCCCAAATAGGCTCTGCAGTGCCAGCACAGAGTCTGACGTGGGGCTCGATCTTACAAACTGTGAGATCATGACCTGAGCTGAAATCAAGAGTTGGACACTTAACCGACAGGCACCCCGGCACCCCGGTACTATTAGAGTTTTATTCTGAGATCACAGTGAATATTTTGTGAGAGAAAGCAAATGAGTTGTGACATGACATTCTGTCATCTCTGGAGTCCTTGAGAATAGAGACTCTGAGAGAAAGCAGAGAGAGAAGCAAGACAGAAGAAGATTAAGTAAAAATTACCTAGTACTGAATTTGAAAGAGAAGTTTTTATATGAATTTATAATGCACCTTATCATAAAAAGATCTATTACTTACCTCTGTCCACCAAAAATGGCAAGAATCAATGACCAACCATGTAGCAATAACAATTCTAATAAGCCAAACCAAGACTTCTTAGAGAAATAATTGACTCAAAATCAGGCACTAGAAATATATAATATGTGGCTTGGACATCTCTCATACCAGAAATCAAGGAATATAGTAGGTTTTTAGGTTCATGTCAAAAGGACTCACGATATAACTTGTAGAGGCTCCCACTGGTCAGATATGTTAAATGTAATATAAGTATGGAGAAAATGGCACAGGATTGAAACACATTAAATATGTTCAATTCAGGGGTTCATAATGATAATAAAATAATCACTGGTCATTATTGGCAGATACAAAGAAACCACCTTATGGTTTCAGAAGCTTGTAGTAAAGAAAAAAAATCCTGCCTCTCCCATGTTAACTGTACCACCAGGTAATCAAACAGTAGATGAGGAGATTTTATCTCATCATCGAATAAATATAAAATAAAAAAAGAATGATGAAGATAGAATATCACATGTTCACACCCTAATAAACACATGAATCTAGGCATTGAACATTAATGAATATTGACATTATTAGAAAAGCAAAAAGAATACAATAGAACAAAATGTGTGTCTCCTCACAGAAGAGCACAGCACCTCTACAAAGTGGAAGCTGAATCTGAACATGCTTCTAGACTCAATTACCAATTTTCAGGGTGCATAGAAAACAAAAGACCACAGGAAACTGCATCAAGGGATGCAAACAGCAAAGTTGAGACTATGGAGAAGTCTACAGAACAATGGGATTTCTAAGAAAACAAACAAACAAACAAAAAAACACATTACAAGGAAAAATACCAAAAGAGATAGAGGCAGAATGTACAGGTTAAGAGTCTGAATAAATTTATTTCAATCATTCGCAAATAAGCTGTTTTTAAAATGCATGATATTGAGGCACCTGGGTTGTTCAGTTGGTTAAGCGTCTGACTGTTGATTTCAACTCAGGTCATGACCTCATGGTTTCACGAGTTCGAGCCCTGTGTCAGGCTCTGAGCTGATAGTGGAGAGCCTGCTTGGGCTTCTCTCTCTGTTTGTCTCTCTCTCTCTCTCTCTCCCCCTCTCACTCTCTACCCTTCCTCTGTTCACACTGTCTCTGACTCTCTCAAAATAAATAAACTTAAACAAATTTTTTAAAAGCATGATACTTACTTATACAACAATTAGGAACTTGGACATTGGGTAATAGTTGATAAATTAAAAAACAATGATTAGGGGCGCCTGGGTGGCACAGTCGGTTAAGCGTCCGACTTCAGCCAGGTCTGATCTCACGGTCCGTGAGTTCGAGCCCCGCGTCGGGCTCTGGGCTGATGGCTCAGAGCCTGGAGCCTGTTTCTGATTCTGTGTCTCCCTCTCTCTCTGACCCTCCCCCGTTCATGCTCTGTCTCTCTCTGTCCCAAAAATAAATAAACGTTGAAAAAAAACAATGATTAACTTTAGATATGATAAGGGTATACAGCTATCTATAACAAAAGGTATCTATCCTTACATAGATAATTGCATATGCATTTATGGATTAAATGTCATGACATGTTAAATTTGATTCCAAATACTATAGGAGAAGAGAAAGTGAATAGACAGAGATGATAGGCTATGAGTCAAAGGTTGTTGAAGCTGAGTAAATGAGAAGTCATTAAATCGTTTTGTCTCCTTTTGCATAGATTTAACATTCCCTACAATAAAGTTGTTTTTAAAAAAAAAAAAGAATATTTTTTAAAAAAGCTTTACCTCTACAAGATAATGCTGTACTAAAGAATGAAAAGCCCTTGCATGAATAGAACAATAAAACATGCCATGTTTCTGGATAAGAACACTGGATACGTAAAGATGTAAAACAACTTTGGGTATAAAATTTTAATGTAATTTTAATCAAAGCACCAACAAATCAAACACAAACAATAAAAAAAAAAAACACAAACAGGCTCACTTGGAAAAGTATATCGTGAAAATAGTCAAGAAAAAAAACACAAGAAATAATGAATACGACTTGTCCAGTGAGACATTAAGACATTATTGATTGCTATGGTAATTAAAACAATTAAGTGATATGGTAACAAAATGAATATCATAAAGGAATTGATAAATGCATCAATAGAACAAGCTAGAGAATATAAAAACCAATCCCTATATTTAGTAGGGAAAAGATGCAAAGACATTCAACAAAAGATGTTGACCCAATTGACTAATCACTTGGAACAAGGTGAATTAATGATTAATTCAAAATTTAAATGTTTATCAAAAGGACTAGAAATTTATGGGGCACATGGGTGGCTCAGTCAGTTAAGCATCCAACTTCAGCTCAGGTCATGATCTCAAGGTTCATGAATTCAAGCCCCATGTCGGGCTCTGTGATGATAGCTCAGAGCCTGGAGCCTGCTTCAGATTCTGTGTCTCCCTCTTTCTCTCTGCCCCTTCCCCACTTGCACTCTGTCTCTCTCTCATAAGTAAATAAAAGGACTAGAAAGTTAAAACAAAAATTGATAGACTCAAGTGGATTTCACTTTAATCCCCTCCTCCTTCTTGCCTGGAACACTGACAAGGCTCAATATGAACATCTGGAGAGCATAATGATGAAAGCCCCATGTCTTAGCTTGGACTGCTATAATAAATTACCTTGTGGGGTAGCTTAAACAACAAAAATTACTTCTCAAAATTCTGGGGGCTAGGAATTCCAAGATCAAGGTGCTGACAGATTTAGCATCTGATGAGAGCCTCCTTCCTGATTTGTAGACAGCCACCTTCATACTGTGTCCTCATATGGCAGAGAGAAAGTTCATCTTTCTTAGGTCTCTTCTTATAAGGATACCAATCCCATTCATGAGGGCTTTACTCTCATGACTTAATCACCTCTCAAAGGCCCCACCTCCTAACACCATCACACTGGGGATTAGGGCTTTAGCCTGTGAATTTTAGGGGGACACAAATATTTAATCCATAGCACCCCATGCTGAGGGTCTCAGAACAGAAAGTTAGAAAGACGCTTGAATTTAATAACCTCAGAGAGCTTCCACACTGACACAAAGCCACGTACCTTCAGACTTCCTATTACATAAGAAAAATGACTAATGTTAGTAAATTGATGTTAGTTGGATTTGTGTTTCATGTAGCCCAAGGCAGCTGAATATGTAACAGCATTCAGAGTCGTTATAACAGCTATGATAGAAGAGTTGTTTGCATGTTTTAATTCTTTGTAAAATAAAATATCAAGAAGAAGCAAATGATCTTGAATGGGTACACTTGAAGAAAATAAAAGATGATGCATCAAATTAGATCGGCATTTGCTGCTGTCCGGAGGGAGCAAAAATAAACGTTTTAAATATCAATTATAATCTTTCAGTGATTGGCCCAATCATACCTGGTATCTGTCAGAAATGTGGCCTTTCAAGATGTAAGCTATGTCATCCACACACAGCCCTTTTCCTCTCTCCTGCAGGCCCATTGTGTCACACAGAATAAAAGGCAGGAAGTTGCCATCCACCGTATCCTTAATGGAATATGTCCTGTACTGCAGATGAGAAAAAGCAACTTTAAGAGCACACTTCTTAAAAAATTCCAAACAGAGGGGTGCCTGGGTGTCTCAGTCGGTTAAGTATCTGACTTCGGCTCAGGTCATGACCTCACGGCTCGTGAGTTCAAGCTCTGCACTGGGCTCTGTGCAGGCAGCTCAGAGCCTGGCGCCTGCTTCAGATTCTGTGTCTCCCTCTCTCTCTGCCTCTCCTTTGCTCGTGCTCTGTCTCTATCTCTCAAAAATAAATAAACACTAAAAAATAATAAGATTTTAAAAATTACAAACAGAGATAAAGTCTACACGTAATGAAGTTGATCACAAAAGATTTCGAACCCAATTAACTGGACCAAAGAAGCAAAGGCTGAGTGGCCCTGAATGGACATACCGTGTCAGAAACCCCAGTTGCTTCAGAGCCCACCAGAGCCTGGTGTGTGACATGGCCTCGGAAAACAGACTTCACTGAGTTGAAAAAGCTAGACTTCCCAGCTCTAGTCGGACCCAGCAGCAGAATTCGCACTTGGGGAACGAGGTTTTTATGTGGTTTGTAAGTGTTCATGGCTGACAATAAGCTCTTGTGGAGCCTGTACAGACAAGACAATGTTAACATTTGAATGAGGGTAGGTCACAAGAACTTACCATAAATTTTTCTAGAATTTGTTTTCTTTTCTTATATATTATCATTTATTTTCTATTAGCAACTTGTTTTCCTATTAAAAGGGCATGAAACTATTCTATTTCACATCCTACTGAAAAAGAAGAAAAATAACACTTGTAACTAAAGTCAATCAGACATACAACCTTTCAGATTTAAGCAACCAGACCATACAAAACTAGTGCTAAATATGAGCTATGTTAAACATGAAAATAACTTACCAGTAATGAACTTTGAAAAACACAGCATAATATGTGACTTTTGGAGTTTATGGAAGTAATAATTTCTGGCATGTTCTTAAAGCTCTATAAGTATTCTCTAACTACCGACCACCACTTCCAAAGCAATTCCCTAAAGTAGTGGAAACGGTAACTGCAAAAATTCTAAGCAAAATTGTAGACTTGCAGCCAAATAATTAGTTTCCTTCACATATGTAAAAGCATTAGGAATGTTTCCCCTCCTCGGTGTTCTTTCTGTTTTAACATTAGTATTATCAAATAGTTTTATGATTATAAATATAGTTACAGCTTATTCTTCACAATCCACAAGTTATCTGTTATGTGCTACCGATTCATTGACAGAACTTAGAATAAGTCTAAGATCATTAACAGAATAACAGAACATTAACTTACTCATTAATTCCTTCCAGAGTCCTTCTGTCCAACAAATCTAGGGAAATAATCAAAGAAAAATGAAAATTACAAGTTGTTGAATGACTGGCTGACTGAATGAATGTCAATGCATTCACTAGGGAAAAATACAAAAATAGCTTTTCCATGATAACAGTGCAGTATAATGAAAGCAAGTGGAAAAAATTATGGCAAATCTCCTAAACATGTCATTTGCAGAATCTAGAGCTAGAGACAAGGTGGGCACTGTAAGACTAGATTGTCTACAAATCTTTTCTCACCCAGTTACCCAGCAGTAGTATGTGGCTTGCTCCATCACCGGAAATGAGAACTGGGACACTTTCTGAATCAGAGAAGCAAAGCGAAGAGACATGGACAGGCCAGGGAAAGAGTGGGAATACTTTAAGATAGTTCCTCTCCATAATGCAATAGGTCTGAAAGGGAAAATATACAGAGGCACACACACAAAAAAACCCACAGACACCAGATTTTCTCCAAAACCTAGTATCTGCAACTGGGGCTCCTGGAACTTCCAGTCCAATTGATTTTCTTCTTAGCTCTGAAGAGAATGTAGAACTCATCCCTACCCAATCAGAGCACAGTGAGTGGTTCAGGAGTCAGCTGAGGACTTTATTTGAACCAATGATACTAGGTGAAGAAGTATTTATTTCCTGTGAAGAAACATTCTGTGGTGGTGGGTTTAAAATGAGGGGCACCTGGGTGGTTCAGTAGGTTAAGCGTCCGACTTAGGCTGAGGTGATGATCTCACAGTTTGTGAGTTCGAGCCCCTGAGCTGTGCTGACAGCTCAGAGCCTGGAGCCTTCTTCGGATTCTGTGTCTCCCTCTCTCTCTGTCCCACCCCACTCAGTCTCTGTCTCTCTGTCTCTGTCTCTGTCTCTGTCTCTCTCTGTCTCTCTCAAAAATAAATACACATTTTTTTAATTTAGATTAAAAAAACTGAAAGGAACAGGAGGAGTGATGCTGGCAATTCTACACTACCAAAGAGGAATACTATGTGAAACATTCATAAATATGGTTATATATAGGGATTCTGGGGGGTTCAGTCAGTTAAGCATCTGAATCTTGATCTCAGCTCAGGTCATGATCCCAAGGTAGTGGGATCAGGCCCTGCACTGGGCTCTGCACTGGGCACGGAGCCTGTTTGAGATTCTCTCTCTCTCTCTCTCTCTCTCTCTCTCTCTCTCTCTCTCCTCTCTCTCTATCCACCACCCCATGCATTCTCACTCTCTTTATAAAATAAATAAATAAGGCTATATGTATGGAAAGAAAACCTCTTTACATTACCAAAGTAAAAATAGTGAAGACTACCTACAATTACTATGATATAATAAAACTAGAAAAGAATAAGTGTAAGCAAAGAGAAAACCAACCTCTTGGGATTTTACAAATCACTCTCCTAACATTAAAAAGAAATTAAAAATCAAAATTGTAAATATATTGACAATAACAAAAATATAAACACTTTATATCAATCTTGTGCTAAAAATACATTTCATTAACAGCAGGAAAGAAGGAAAGTTTTGAAAATAAAAAAGAGAAACAGAAAAGAATAAAGAAATATAAGAACGGAATTAGAAATATAAGAAGGAATTAACAAAAACACAAGACAAATTTTGTAAATTAAGAAAAGGGTAAATTAATATAGTAATGGATTGGTTTAAACTATAAAATAAATTACAGACTAGTCTAATCAAAGAAAGCCAAATTCACAAAATGTCATGCTACAGCTCACATACCTAAATGACTACATACTATATAACCAATAAAAAGTGTTGGGAAAAATTTAGAAGTGACAGAAACTCTCATGCACTTCTTGTGGTGGGTAAAATTGATATAACTATGTTGGAAAGCTCTGTCAGTGTCCACTGAAGCAAACATATATGTTTCCAGTGACCCTGAAGTTTTATATTTATATTCTTCAAAAATATGTGTACATGTGAACCAAAAAATCATGTACAAGACTGTTTATAGCAGCATTATTTGTAATAGCCCCAAACTAGAAAACTCAAAATGTCCACCAGCAGTAATTTTATTAAGAAAAAGTATGATGGAATCATTACAATGAAATCCTATATGAAAATGAAAAGGAACAAATGAGTGCAACATACAATAATATGATGAATCAGTAGAAAGGTAGGAGTTAAAGCAGCTGGCCTGAGATACATTCACTCACTGTAGCAAGTAACACCCTCAAGGAAAAAAGAGAAAAATGAGCCAGCCTAAGGCCTAACTTCCTTAAAAATTTGCTAATAATCTTACCTCCTGGTATATAGACTAATGATGTTTCCTACAAGGAAAGGATGTACCTCTTGAATGCCCTTAATAAGATGTTCCTGGCTAAGGATTAATCAGAATAAATAAGTACAGATTCTATGGATTTATGAGGCACATCTTCATGGGAAATGTCATGTAGGCTGCTTGTCTTAGTCATCTCAGGCTGCCATACAAAATACCATTAACTGGGACAACAGAAATGTATTTCTCCCAGTTCTGGGAGCTGAGAAGTCTGCGATCACTGTCTGGCAAGGTAGATTTAATTCCACAGACTCTTCTCTTGCTTTGTAGTAGCCGCCATCTCACTGTGTTCTCCCATGACCTCTTCTCGTGTGTTCATGTGGAGAGAGGGAGCCCTCTGGTGTCCCCTTCTTATATGAATGCTTATCCTATTGAATTAAAGCCCCACTCTTATGACTTCATTTAACCTTACATACTTCCTTAGAGGCTTCTTCTCCAAATATAGTCACATTAGAGGTTAGGGTTTCAACATACGAATTGGTGGGGGAGTGGGGGGGGGGGGGTGGGGGCACACATTCAATCCATAGCACTGACATACCAATGTTCCATAACTTAACCACTCTTCAATATGTAAAGTGGCCCATAAACTTCATTTAAAAATCTTGCTGGTAGGCCGGCTGGGTGGCTCAGTCAGTTAAGTGTCCAGCTCTTGATCTCACGGTTCATGAGTTCAAGCCCTGCATTGGGCTCTGAGCTGTCAGTGTGGAGCCTGCTGGGGTTCCTCTCTCTCCCTCTCTCTCTGCCCCTCCCCTGCTCTCTCTCTCTCTCTCTCTCTCTCTCAAAGTAAATAAATAAACTTTAAAATAAAATCCTGCTGGTTGTTTTTAGCCAGAAAGCATATGTCTAATATGCAAAAGAAGGATCTAGGAGCCACATAGAATATTCCTGTACCCTTTCTGCCTTCTCTGAGACATCTGATTATCTTTATCTTTGAAATTATTAGTAAAACTTTATACTGGGTGAGATACCTGATTCGTAGAGGTCTGATTTTAGAATCCATTACCTTGTTTAGTTTAGTCCCTTAAGCGTAATGTTGAATGAGAGAGGTCAGACAAAAAAGAATACATATTTTGATATGATTCCATTTATATAGAATTCAGAAACAAGAAGTAATTAGTGTCAACACAAGCCAAAGTAATAGTTATCTTTGACTGGCAATAACCAGGAAGAATCAGCGAGGAGTCTTTTGAAATGATGGTAATAATCTATTTCTTCATCTAAGTAGTGGTTACCTTAGTGCGTCTAATTTATAAAAGTTTATTAATTGGTACATTTATCAATTGTGCATTTTTCTGTTTATGTGTTATACTTCAATACAAAGTTTACTTAACTGATCCAGGATGCTCAATATCATAACATGTCCAATTAAATTTACCAGACATCAACAAAAGAATTTTTAATGTTTGGAGCAGCCAGGAAAAAAGATCAAATCATTCAAAGAGAAACAACAAAGACAAATAAGTAAGTCTGTACCTGTGTTTTCCACAGCAATATCAATGCTGTGGAAACATTACAAAATCCCCCACAATAAAATGTGATTCAAGAATTACATACTCTAACAATAATTCAAGTATGAAGACCACAGACAATTAGTTTGGAACATGAAAATACTCAGAGAGTTATTCCCAGGTTTCTTCTTTTAAATGGATAGACATAAATAACTATTTCATGGAAGAAATGTAAATGGTTGATACACACAGACTTCCGAGTAATCAGGTATAAGCAAAAAAGAAAATGAAAAGCCCTCCTTGACCATCAAATTGGCAAATATTCTAAAGTTTGATAATATCAAATAAAGGCAAGAAGACAGGGAAATAGGCATTTCTATAACACTCTTGGGAATAGTATAGACAACTGAAGCTTTTGACAGGTGTCTGTCAAACTGCAAATGTAAATATTTCTTAAACAGCAATCCCACTTCCAGGAAGTTACTATAAAGAAGTAACTTCTTGTGTGCACAGTTATATGCATGAAGATATTATATAAAAGCACTGTTTATAACAGCAGATATTGGAAACAATGTCCTCTGGCAGAAAAATAAGTTAATTAATTTTGGTCTTTTGATATAATGGATATAATGGGAAACTGCAGGATCTAGAACAAATCAAGAAAAGTTCAAGCTTTGGTTTCATTCCAAGAGAAGCCCTCTTCAAGTTTGCTCTCTCTCTCTCTCTCTCTCTCTCTCTCTCTCTCTCTTCTCCTTCTACCTTTCCTCCCCTTCCCCTACCCTTTGCCCACACAAACACCCTCCAGAAAACTCTGTATATGCTCCTTTTGACCATGGTTGTGTCTCAGCAAACAATGTGTGGCCAGGTTTCAGTCTGGGTCACCCAGAGACCAGGACATTCTTCCTTAAAGAAATGGGTCACCTCAAATCCTCCAAACATTCAGGAGAGAACTCTATATAAGGTTATCTAATTAAACCTACCTTCACATCGAAAAACTTCACATTCCTGAAAGGGAGAAGCTTGCATATGAGGTAATCGAAGTTTTTCACTTGTATCTAAGTTCAGAGTCATCACTTGTTTCCTCATATTTATGTGGAATTCTAAGTCATTCCTTCTTCCACTACCATCATAAAACAATTCAGTTGGTACATATGAGCTTATTTTGCATTCTGAAATTGTATTCTCTTCAAGAGCAAAAAGGACGATGGGAATTTTCTCCTCTTTCTTGCAACTTGTTTTCATATATGCCCCGACAACATAGTGTTCCTTATAAATCACCACCACAATCGGCCCTTGATCATAGCATCTCTTAAACAAGTCATGTGCAGAGAATTCATGAACACTAGCTTTATAGAGAAGGGTAAACTGTTTTCCTCCAAAATAAGTTTGCAGATTCTTTTCTTGCATCCATGTCAAACGAGTTCTCACCGCCATACTTCTCGATCTAGCAGAAAATCAAATACATTTTCCAATAAGTATTGAAAAATGGGTAACACATACTGTCACAAAGCTTGCATTTGTTCCTCTTCTCTACTCTACATTATACATTGAAAGAGTAAACCAAGGATGAACAGACAGCAAGAAAAATCATTGACTAGTTTTCCATTCTGAAGGATTTCTTTTAATTAAAAAAAGAAGACTATAATTTGCAAGTGGCTAGGAAAAGTAGAAAGCAGCAACTCATTTACCTGTTTGTAGAATCTGTACAAGGACTGAAGTGGAGCATAGCTGCTCTGTCTGGACAGCTAAGCAGACACACGATAGGAGCAAAAAATTCTTCAGCAATGTGGAGGCTTTGGTGACTCAGAGAAAAGGAAACTGAAACTTAGTAAGGCCCAGCCCAGTCGGCAGAGTGCCAGCTTCCTTCTTCCAGGGAGCACAAGCTGATTCACTTAAATTTGTGAAGTAAAATCACATAAAAATATGAGAGCCAAAGAACTGAAGTCAGAGAAAAGAAAAGCTAACAGCTTGCCAGATTTTTAAGTGGACTTTTTAAAAGAAAAATTTAGTCAGTTTCTGTATGTTGAAATACACACACACACACACACACACACACACACACAAATGCTGTTTAATCTGACTCCAGGACACATGCCCCAGATTCATCCACTTCTCTACAATCAACTTATTTTCATCAGGGTCCACTGCTTTCTATACCGCTGGTGGTAAGACAGGTTGCAGCAAAAAAGAGTGACGATTTCTGATAAGGTGTGACAGAGGAGCAACAATCTCAAACAGAGAACACTGGGGTAGGACATAAGGATCTTGGAGACCAGCAAGTATAAGGACAACGTCACCACCATCTGAACACCTTCCTCAGTCAGGTCCCACTGCTCCCCAACAGGCTCAAAACAGCAGGAGGTTCTCTCTTTGTCATTTTGCAGACTGCCTCAAGAACTCAGACTGAAGCAGGACTGTCTCACATTGCCTGGCAAACAGCTGTCAGTTCATTAAGGAAGCCAGGAATGTTACAGTAATTGACAAGTTGCCTGTATCATCAATGGAATGGAAATAGAAAGGCCTAGCTCCTTATTAATAAAGAAACAAGATGTGGAGATGGTAGCAGAGACCATTTGGTAGTCTGTACTTGCCTCATATTCTTTTAAGAGATCCTGTAGAATTGGCAGTTTCAAACCTTCCCCACACCCCCCTACACATAAAAATAATCCAATAATTTAGGTAGCCCTTGATCATAAAGTATGTCATTTGAATGAACCAGCACCTTCAAGAAATGGTTACTTCCAGCTCTCCCTTCCTTGAGCTTTTGGAAGACACCAGCCCCCCACATGAGCTCAGAGGTGTGATAGGTCCCACGCAGAGACCTGTGTTGGTGTGACCACACACTTCCTGTGGGTCCCCCAGTTCTGTTCCTCTTTCAGATTTCTACCAAAGTTATGCCAAATTTCTCTTCCCCTTTACTTCCCAGCAGGGGGGCTATTTTGCAGTTTCTATGGAAATGGGAAAAGTAAACTTCCCTCTATTTTTTTCCTCTATTACCTTTTTAATTCATAGAATTCCATAAATTCTATGTTCAGGTTCTTTCATGGTCTGGACTCTCAGGGGTCTACTATGGAAGTTAAAGAAAATCTAAACATTGTTTCAGGGTTTTTTTTTCTTCACTCTTTGGTTTAAACTATCTTCTCAGGAGGACAATGTGAGTGATTCTGTAAATAGGGGAAGAACTATATACAAAGAAGTACAGAAAAAATATAAAAGTTGCTATTTTAAGGGGTTGTCTAACCACACACAGTGTCCATTTGATATATTCCAAGTCTTATGATGCAGATAAGTTACTTTTTTCCCCCTGAAACCCCCTCTGTCTATATCTAATAACCAGAACAGAAACACTAACTGATTATCTGCCAGACAGGAGAGTCTCATACACTTGGAATACCACACATGTATTTGTCTTAGTATGCTTATTTAAATTGTAGTAGTCCATTCAAATTTGAATTGCTTCCACAACTCAACACCAAAATGGAAGACAAACAAGTTCAAAGGCTTAAATATGTTCCTTGCGTCTTCTAATTTTTTTTATGTTTATTTATTTGTTTATTTTTTTGAGACAGAGACAGAGTGAGTAGGAGAGGAGCAGAGAGAGAGAGAGGAGAAACAGAATCTGAAGCAGACTCCAGGCTCTGAGCCGTCAGCACAGAGCCCAACGGGGGGGCTCAAGCCCACATACCATGAGATCATGACCTGAGAAGAAGTTGGATGCTTAACCAACTAAGCCATCCAGGCACCCTTGCATTTTTTAAATTACTGTCAGATAGAAGTTATCATGAAATGTGCAAAAGAAATCTATTGTCTTAAAAACTTTAAAAATTAAAAATTATGACTGTGTGGCTCAGTCTATTAAACATCCCAACTCTTGATTTTGGCTCAGATCATTATCTCACAGTCGTGAGTTCAAGCCCCATGTCAGTCTCCATGCTAAGCATGGAGCCTGCTTAAGATTCTCTCTCTCCCCCTCTCCCTCTGCCCCTCCCCTGCTTTCACATGCATGTGCGCATGCCCACACACACATTCTCTAAATAAATAAATAAATAAATAAATACCATATTCACAACATTGTTTAACATAGCTTGTTATTCTTCTTCCCCATCTCTATTCCCATTCCTACAATCTCTACCTGCGGTTTCACCTCCACTATCATTCCTGTCCTGGAGTCTGGAACAGCTCAAATCCATTATGTGAGCTGTGTTGGGAAAGGAGTGAGGGAGCATGCAGTTGGATATTAGCCATAATTCTAATTCTATTGTCTGGCTGACCCCAGTGGTCTGCGTTTTCTCCAACATCAGAAAAAAAAATTGTGATGAGCATGCAAGTTTCCATCTTGCTTAAATTGGTGGCAAAAATTAGATCTTAAATCTACTGTCCTCCATTAATTGTCTCAGAGATTCATCACCTTGGGATGGGATTTGGGAACTTCCAAATTCCCACAGCTTTTAGGAATACCATGAAGGCTTCAACCAGCTTTGCTATCAAGTAGTGACTTTAGCATTAAAATGAGTTCTGTCACTTCAAGATGATTACTCTTCAGCTGGTCTTCTGAAGCATCTGGGGCTTACTTGAGTCTCTCAATTTCACCATATTAGATACGGATGGCCTTTAAAAATTTTTTTTAATGTTTATTTATTTTTTAGAGAAAGAGAGACAGAGCATGAGCAGGGAAGGGGCAGAGAGATAGGAACACAGAATCTGAAGCAGGTGCCAGGCTCTGAGGTGTCATCACAGAGCCCGACAAGGGGCTTGAACTCACGAATGGTGAGATCGTGACCTAAGCTGAAGTCAGATGCTTAGTCGACTGAGTCACCCAGGAGCCCCGGGGCCTGCCTTTTTTATGAAGAAGCAACATGATAATCTTTAAAATTAGCTTTCTAAAAGAGACACTGGCTTACACATCACCTACCACAACGACTCTTGGTATTTTATTAAGGTGGATGCTGGGTGAATTTGTATAACGCTACAAACTTCTGTCAGAAACAGGCACTTTTACTTACTTTCCAGTTTTATTATGATATAATTGTATAAATATACTCTTACATATAGATAACAAACAGTGTTGCTAGAGAGGAGGTGGATGGGGCGATGCATTAACTGGGTGATGGGGGTTAAGGAGGGCACTTGTGATGAGCACTGGGTGATGTATGGAAGTGATGCATCACTAAACTCTACTCCTGAAATTAATAGTACACTATATGTTAACTAACTGGAATTCAATAAAAGCTTGAAACTAGAAAAAAAGTAACCAAAATTAAAATTGAAAAAATAAAAAATATAAAGAAATAAGACTCAGGAAAGTTGATTGTTTCAGACTTCATGTGTTAGTCAAGAATCAGTGGATTTTAATACTAAATAAATAAATTAAAATCCCCAGGGGGAAAAAAGATATAATTAATATATAACATTGTGTAAGTTTAAGGTGTTCAGTGTAATGATTTGATACATGTATATATTGCAACTGGTTACCACAATAAGGTTAGTTAAAACATCCATTGCCTCAAATAATTACCTTTTTTGCACATGTGGTGAGAACATTTAAGATGTACTCTCCTAGCAACTTTCCAGTATAAAATACTGCACTGTTAAGTCTCTGTTTATCTCTCTTGATCTCTCCATTACTCTTCTTCCTTTCAGGGTCCCCATCTCCTTCATGAGGTATCCCACACTACCCTTCAAACAGAGTAAGGAAGTTCCATCTTGAATATACTTCTGCATGTAGCAAAACCTTCCTCTGACCAGATTTTTGCTGACTCCACATGAAGATTGATGAGTTATGGCCCTATAGTCAGTAAAGGACAATGGTGGGTCTTCAATCACCTTCAGTCTTCTACCCAATTACAGCTGTGGCTTGTTTGTATCGTGGACTACATGGAAACGAACACATACTACTCTTTGGACCCGTTGCTCCCTACGTCCATGTCGTAACCATCCCGGCTGGAACTCTTTGTTCCCAACATCGACTTCTGGCTATACTCCTCAATATCTGTCACCATCCTACTCCTCTGTCTCTTTTAAAGATACCATCCATCTCTTGCTCTGAATCATGCTACCAAACATTCATTTGAGCACCACTTCACCTGTAGCTTTGCTTCAGGAAATAGTTGTTTTTCCACAACTATCCCTAAGGAATTCTTGCCATGATAATACCCAGGACTTCCCAAAGAAGACAGTAATTCTGACTAAAAGTATATTCGACTACTTTAATATAGGTAACTATTCAATCAAAGCATATTCATCTGAAAAATACTAAGAAATTTGGAGAAGAGAGTTAGGGTTTTATGGAAGAAAAAAACCTAAAACCTGTCTTCAGAAATTCTTTTTTTATTTATTGCTAGTCCTAACTTCACAGCTACCCAGAGGAATTTAGAATCATTTGGGAATACCTGTATAAGACAACCTTCTTGAGGTGCCTGGGTGGCTCAGTCCATTAGTGCTGGACTTTAGCTCAGGTCATGATCTCATGGTTGGTGGGTTTGAGCCCTGAGTCGGGCTCTGTGCTGACAGCTCAGAGCATGGAGCCTCTTTGGGATTCTGTGTCTCCCTCACTCTCTACCCCTCCCCCACTCATGCTCTTTCTCTTTCTGTCTCTCAAAAATAAATAAACATAAAAAAAAAATTTTAAAGACAACCTTCTTATTGCCTTGCACTAGTAAGTAGCCTCATTTGATCACTCTACTTGGGAGACATCGCTAGGATGGTTTGGAATTCAATTAATGAAAATCAGGCATGAGTTCATTAAAGGAAGAAGCTTTGTTTTTGTTTGTTTGTTTTTCACAGAAATAGCACGTAAGTCCTTAAGAAATATTTGCTTTTTTTAATTCCCTTAAATTCATATCTTCATCCAGAGATAAATGAAACATTCTCCCTCCTTTATGTCCATTTCTTGTCTCTGGCATTTCATTTTCTTCCAGCCTTCCTCCCTGTAAGGAGGAAAAATTTAAGTACATGTTATCACTCTGGGGAAGTTGGGAGGGATGCATAATGGCAAACATGCTTACTCCTTGTCAGGCACTGTGCTAAACTCTGTCATACAAATGTGCGTAAAATCCAAACCCTGCTTCTTGAAGAACTCACAATCTAGGGAACTAGACATCCATGTAATCATGTTTAAACTATTATTCAGGGGCGCCTGGGTGGCGCAGTCGGTTGAGCGTCCGACTTCAGCCAGGTCACGATCTCGCGGTCTGTGAGATCGAGGCCCGCGTCAGGCTCTGGGCTGATGGCTCAGAGCCTGGAGCCTGTTTCCGATTCTGTGTCTCCCTCTCTCTCTGCCCCTCCCCCGTTCATGCTCTGTCTCTCTCTGTCCCAAAAATAAATAAACGTTGGAAAAAAAATTTAAAAAAATAATAAATAAACTATTATTCAATGTATTAGTACTCACATAGAGCTTTACATACAGAGCTATAGACAAATACATAAGGAGACAGTTAACTTTGCTGGGGAGGTTTAAAAGGTGTCACAGAAATTAAAATCATAAATAGTGCAGGAATCCAGAGGGTGGTCTGCAGTGGGGCATATCTTGGCCCACCAGTGCTCAGGATTGGCCTTTCAGCTTGAGGTCCTAGAAGAAACTGTCAGTTAGATGCTGTCAGGGACCGAAGGTGAAACATGAGTGAAAGCAGAAGTCATAAAGAGGCTGTCAGCAGAGACTGACTCTAACCAGGGCATGCCAATCCAGGTTTGGGCCAAGTATCAGTATCAAAGCAACTGATGTCACATGTAGAGCTGAACACTCCTACAATTTTACCTGAAAACAAAAGGAAAAGAATAGAAACAAAGCGCATATCCTAACATGGTTGTCAGGTCTAGAGCAACCAAGTGGGCACCAGCCGTCCAATAAGGTAGAACTCAGGGATTTTCAAAAAATACCAATGCTTTATGACAAGAGTGGAAAAGGGGCCAGATTACCTGTTTCAAGAGGCAAATCCTCTAAAATGTCATCCACTATCCGTAACATCTGCCTCAGGACAAACAGGATCAGAGTGTCCTTCAAAGGGTCCAGCTCCAACTCTGATGCATAATTTTCAACCATAAAGATATTATAAATAGGAATATCTAGCATTTTGCTGACTTTTATTATCTGTGGAAAAATTAATAAGCATAATTCATATCTGAAAAAGGACTAAATTCAAATATAATTCAAGAAAGAAACTGAAAAAGCAATAGCTTGATAAATTATCTTCTGAATATAATTATAATGCAGATAATTATTATTTTTTTTTAATTTTTTTTCCACGTTTATTTATTTTTAGGACAGAGAGAGACAGAGCATGAACGGGGAAGGGGCAGAGAGAGAGGGAGACACAGAATCGGAAACAGTCTCCAGGCTCTGAGCCATCAGCCCAGAGCCTGACGCGGGGCTCGAACTCACGGACCGCGAGATCGTGACCTGGCTGAAGTCGGACGCTTAACCGACTGCGCCACCCAGGCGCCCCAGATAATTATTATTTTAAAGTAGGACATAAACTTGAATTAATCAGGCAATTGATCCACTTCATTTGCCTGTTCACATTTGTAGTGTGAACACACACACACACACACACTCACACACCCATACATCCCCCCCACACACACACACAATATAACACTATTACAATAATGCCTGGTTAGATATATATTCTTTACCTGGTTTGGGGACGTCATAGAATTATTCATGTTTAAAAAGTTGTCTTGAAGAATTTCACTGCACTTATCAATTTTAGTAAGCAAGACCACAAGTGCTGTACCTATATCAAAGAGATAAATCAGTGATTTTGTATCATAAACAGTAATGTGTCAACAAGGCAATTCAGTATGTGTGAAAGCAACTCTCTGTGGGGTGAAGATTTAGAGAATGAAATGTCCCCAGTAAATGGCAATATGGAACCTGAAGTTCTTCTAATAGGAGAAATGATCTTTTCTTCCAAAGTGAGATATAATTTCTAAATGCAACTGAATTCACACTATGTTGCAATCATCTACCATTCCAAATGGTGTGTTTTAAAGTGATAAGGTGGGGTGGGGGGCAGGGTGGTTGCTGGATATCGAAGAGCAAAAAAGACCCCAGAAAGTGAAGATTGTGTGAGAGTATTTGTAAAAACAAAGCACACTGATTTCACAGTTCTACTAAGGACTTCTTGCCCTCTCCCAATCAGCAGCTAACCGAATCAAAAGCCTTTTTACTAACACCTGCTTCCCCCAGGAAAAAATATTATAAAACTAAGATTTCCAAATGCCATTCAAGAATGTCCCTGAGGTTCTTTACAAGAGCTTTCAGTATTTTCCCCTTACGTGAATCATATATATGAGTCATAAATATGATATAGATATTCCCTCTCTACCCGCTTTGTTGAGTTTTTATCATAAGTGGATGTTGAGCTTGTCAAATGATTTTTCTGCATCTATTGATATGATTTTATCCATCATTTTGTTAATGTAGTGTATCACATTGATTGATATGTGAATGTTGAATCATCCTTACATCTCTGGAATTAATCCCACTTGTTTATTGTATATGATTCTTTTAATCTATCATTGAATTCAGTTTGCTAATATTTTGTTGAAGATTTTTATGTTTCTGCTTATTAGGAATATTAGCCTGTAATATTCTTTTCTTGTGGTGTTCTTGCCTGGTTTTGATATCAGGGTAATGCTGATCTTCTAAAATGAGTTTGAAAGAGTTCCCTCCTCTTCTACTTTTTGGAATAGTTTGAGAAGGATTGCTATTAATTCTTATTTGAATGTTCAGTAGAATCCACCAGTGATGCCATCTGTTTCTAGACTTTTGTCTGTTGGGAGTTTTTTGATTACTGATTCAATATCCTTCGTCATATTTGGTCTGTCAAGATTTGCTATTTCTTCATGATTCATGAAGGATACATGATTCATGAAGGATACAACAGAAGGTTGTATGCTTCTAGGAATTTATCCATTTCTTCTAATTTTGTTTGTGTATAATTGTTCATCGTAGTCTCTTATGATAATTTGTGTTACTGTGGTATCAGTTGTAATATCTCATTTCTGGTTGTGTTTATTTGGGTCTTTTTTTTTTCCTGAAATTCAGTGAAAGGACTCCCACTTCTGGACCAAATGGAGCCAATATACTTTTCCCTATTCTTCCTTCTAAATACAACTAGAAACACTAGACATTATTTATAAATCAAACACAAACATTGAAATGTGGAGAGAATAACAAAATAACAGAAATTGGCTAAGGACCACAGGATCCAACGAAAAATATGGTGGTGAGTTCTCTAGGCTTTCTTTTTACTTCAAATAGCCTATATTGGCTGCTGGAGAAGTGCACAACTAAGGAATGCTAATTGGAACTGGTGAAAAGAAGGGGAAAGAAAGGAACAAAAGGGAAAAAGAGGGAAGGGAAGGAAGGGAAGGGAAGGGGAGGGGAGGGGAGGGGAGGGGAGGGGAGGGAAGGGAAGGGAAGGGGTCCCTCCCCTCTAAAAACCAGAAAAAAGAAAGTTAATTATATCCAAATCAAGATGAAAGAAACCCTAAGGAGCAGAAATCAAAGAACAAACTAAAAACAGAAAAACAATTTAAACATAAATGAAACAAAGACATGGTTCCTTGAAAAGAACAATAAAATTGACAAACCTTTAGAAATAGTGACAAAGAAAAACAAAAGAAAAGACACAAATCACCAATATCAGGAAGGTCACAGAGATATCCCTACAGACCTTACAGATGTAAAATGAATAATAAGGAAATGCTATGAACAATTCTATCCACATAAATTTGACAACTTAGATGGAATGAAATGAACTAAAGTCTACAAACTATCCCAACTCACCTAATATGACATAGATTAATAGCTTGATAACTATTTTAAAATTAAATTTTTGGTTTTTTAAAAACCCCTGAAAAAGAAATCTCCAGACTCAGATGATTTCAATGGAAAACTCTACCAAACATTTAAAGACAAATTAACACCAATTCTTCACAATCCTTTCAAGAAAATGGAAGAGGAACACTTCCCAACTCATTTTATGAAGTCAGTGTTACCCTGACACCAAAACCTGACAAAGCATCAGGAAAAAGAAATACGAATCAATATCCTTCACTAATTTTTAATAAAATATTATCAAATAGAATTTGGCAATATATGAAAAAATATGTTTCATAATACATGGGATTTATTCTAAGGAGACAAGACTGGCTCAAGATTCAAAAATCAATGTAACCCATCATATTAAGAAGATAAAGAGGAAAATTTTTTCATGATTATATCAATCTATGGAGAAAAATTATTTGATAAAATTCAACATCCATTCAGGACAAGAAGGAAAAAAAACTCAGAAAACTGGGAATAAAGAACCTCCTCAAATTGACAAAGCACAACTGTAAAAAAAAAATATATGTATATACATATATATATATATATATATATGGCTAACATCATAATGGTGAAACACTGAATACTTTCCCCATAAGATCAAAACACCACAAGGGTATGTGCTCTCACCACTGTTATTCAACACAGTACTGGAACTTCTAGCCAGAAAAATATGACAAGAAATGGAAATAAAAGGCATACAGATTAAAAACAAAACTATCCCTATTTAAGATGGTATGAAAATCCCAAGGAATAAAAAAAAAAACTTTTGTAGAACTAATAGGTGAGTTCAGCAAGGTCACAAGAAACAAGATTGACATACAAAATTCTATTGTAAATTGATATACCAGGAATAAGCATCTGGAAGCCAAAATTCAAATATGATATCATTTTTAAAAAATTAAATACATAGGTATAAATTTAATAAACCACGTGCAGGACTTGAATGTTAAAAACTGTGGAGAACTTGTGAAAGAAATCAAAGATCTCAATAAATGGAGAGACATATTATGTTCATGGATTGGAAGACTCAGCAGAGTAAAGATGTCAATTCTCCCCAAAATTTATACATGTGGTTAATGTTATACATGTGGTTAATGTAATTATACATGTGGTTAATGTAATGTAATTACAAGCAAGATTTTTTGTAGAAATAGACAAGGTAATTCTAAAATTCCCATGGAGGATGAGTTAAAGATGGCAACATAGGAAGACCCTGACCTCATTTCTGCCTATGGACACAACAAATTTACAGCTACGTATGGAATCACTGTGCTCTGAAAAGGACCTAGGAACTAGATGACTAGCATGTCCACAACAAAAAAACACAAAAGTAGTGCATCCAGAAGGGTATGAGAGGCAGAGACACTGCGCAGGATCCCACTCCAGATGCAGTGACCTCACAATCAGGTGGAATCCAAAAAAATTCAAACTCTTTCTCAAGGGAATGAAGGGACTGTGCCCCACATCAGGCACCCCAATGCTGGGGGCTGACACCAGAAAGACAAAATGTCTGGTCTTGAAAAACAATGGGGATTAAGACCAGGGGAATCACAGAATTATAAACAACACAGATCCCAATCTTAAAGGGCCCCACACAAACCCAGTCGCCCTGACATCCAGTGAGAAAGCAACAGACTGAAAAGCACCCAGACCATAAATGAGGGTGACTCACTTAACTACTTTTAAATCTACAAATGTGATAAAACAACACAGGGCTACACACACACACACACACACACACACACACACACATAACAGTGGCAATTTTCTGGTTTTGATCTTCCTGGTCAGGTCAAGTAATATGAGGAGGTGACTTGCCTATCAAGCCACTGGAAAATCACACGTGACAAAAAAATATGTAAATGATCTCTGTCTGCTGTTGCCAGTAACCAATCTAGGACTCAGGAAATTCGGTAAAGGGTCCATAGGACCTCTCTGTATGCTCGTTGCAATTTCCTGTGAATCTATAATTATTTCAAAATAAAAGGTGTTTTAATTTTTTTTAATGTTTTAATTTATTTTTGAGAGACAGAGAGAGACAGAGCACGAATGGGGAAGGGGCAGAGGGAGACAGAATTTAAAGCAAGCTCCAGGCTCTGAGCTGTCAGCACAGAGCCTGACCTGGGGCTCAAACATACAAACTGCAAGATCATGACCTGAGCAGAAGCCGAACACTTACCCAAGTGAGCCACCCAAGTGCCCCTCAAAATACAAGTTTCTTTTAATAAGGACAATGAGACTCACCACAGTTTAAGACCTCTTTTTGAACTTCTTTGAACTTTGCCACCTCCTTAGAGGTGATAGAACTGATAGAGTTGATATCTAAGACATAGGCCACACAGTGAATCTTGTCCTTCAGTGATGGAGAGGCGATGAACATAGGATGGTCTGGCGTAATTGATTTATGGGGGCAAAACTGTTATAGAAACATAAGGTAACATTTAGAAAGTCTTTGCTGACTTCATTAAAACACATCCATGCTTGAAATGCGACTACCACTAACCTCCAACCCAAAACTTTCCTCCCCCTAGCCACTTTTTCCCCAGGTTAATTAGTAATCCCCCTTCCATACTTCCTCTTCACTATGAGTATAATGTTATTATATCTTTCGTATAGAAAAACCACTTCATTGTTTTGGCAAAAATTGTAAGTATCCATACTTTACATTATCCATAATGGAACTATTTCAGAAAAATGCAAACAATGTTTGTTTAAAGTTAACTTCAGAGGCTCCTGGGTCACTCAGCTAGGTGAGTGTTCCACTCTTGATTTCAGCTCAGGTCATAATCTCATGGTCTTTTAGGTGGAGCCCCACAGTTGGGCTCCACACTGACAGGATGGAGCCTGCTTGGGATTCTCTCTCTCTCCTCCCTCTGCTCCTTCCCTACTCCTGTGTGCACGAGTGCTCACGCACACACGCTCTCTCTCAAAATAAATAAATAAATATATTTTTAAAAAGCTAATTTCAAATCCCAGTCTCCAGAAAAAAAAAAAATGACCATTGACATTGGTTACACATCATTTAAGACTTTAAACATTTTGCATACTTAAATGGACTAATGAATAGAGGAGAAAAACGGAGGGGGGATGGGAAATGCCATTTAAAATAAAATGCCATAGGGGGCACCTGGGTGGCTCAGTCCATTAAGCCTCAGACTTCAGCTCAGGTCATGATCTTGCAAGTTTGTGAGTTCGACCCCCACATCAGGCTCTCTGCTGTCAACACCAAACCCGCTTCAGATCCTCTGTCTCCCTGTCTCTGCCACTCCCCTGCTCACACTCTCTCTCAGAAATAAAATAAACATTCAAAATAAAATAAAATAAAATGCTATAGAAGTGCTTGTTCAGCTCAGTCAGAAGAGCATGAAATTAGGGGTGCCTGTGTGGCTTAGTCAGTTCAGCATCTGACTTCAGCTCAGGTCATGATCTCACAGCTCATGAGTTCGAGCCCCATGTCAGGCTCTGTGCTGACAGCTCAGAGCTGGAGTCTGCTTCAGATTCTGTGTCTTCGTCTCTCTCTCTCTCTGCCCCACCCCAGCTCGAGCTCTGTCTCTCTCTCAAAACTAAATAAACATTAAAAAAAAAAACAAAAAAAAGAGCACACAACTTGATCTCAGGGTCATGAGTTCGAGCCCCATGTTGGGTGTAGAGATTACTAAAAAAAATAAATTAAAAAAAATAAAATAACATAATTTCTTTAATTTTACAGAAGAAAAAGAAACTAAAGAGAAACAGAAGAAAAATCCCAAATTCCAAGTTAACATCTTCATACCAAGAATGATAATCTTTCTAGGATTAAGAAAATAGATTTAAAACTACAGTACAGGGCTAGGTTCATTATTTTTTTTTTCGAATAATATCAAATAACTTTATTTCCCTCTGTGCTTTTCTAGTAATTTTTTTTCAATATATGAAATTTATTATCAAATTGGTTTCCATACAACAAAAAAATATGGAACGCTTCACAAATTTGCGTGTCATCCTTGCGCAGGGGCCACGCTAATCTTCTCTGTATCGTTCCAATTTTAGTATATGTGCTGCCAAAGCGAGCACAGGTTCATTATTTTTTAACTATATGTTTCAATGCTGAACTGAGTAGATTGCCTCTCTGTTGTGAAAAACGAAGGTGTTAGTAGGCTCACAAGTTCTCCAATCTCTCTGCTCTGTTCCACCTCCTTATATCTTAGGTCTCCGTAAATTGTGAGGATGAGAATTACGTTCCTAGTTAACTATGTGTTTCAATTAGCATAGCATCTGTAACAAAATAGGTTTTTAATAATGTTTTTTTTTAATATATGAGTCCATAGTTAAGGTTTCCAATCAAGCACAACTGAGCGGCAACAGAAGTCACGTTTAGAAATTGAGGCTGATTGTATCACACCCAATGCCTAAAAGAAAGGTGATAATAATGGTTGACTTTTTGAGCATTTAAAGTACATTCTCTCATTTATCTTTGCAGGCACTCTACAAAATGGGTTTTATTATTACCTACATTTCACACATAAAAAAGTAAGACTTGCAGAGACATATATGTAACTTCATTATGAGTACACATCTAATTAGTGGCAAAGCCAACCTATGGATGTAGGTATTTAGGTAGCATTTAAGTGGTGAAACGTAAGTACTTATAGTATAACAATATCACACTTAAACAAAAAGTGGTTAAATGTTCCAATATTTTGTCTAAGTGATCAAAAAAGTGCATGAGGTTAAACTATTACTTTTCTACTTATTTTACATTATTGTAAAGAGTGATATAGGAACAATCTTTTCCTGAACGTTTTCTGAAATTTTATAAGTAAAATACTGCTTTTGACTGTATTTCTTTCTTTTTTTTTTGAGATTACCTTATTTTTTTAAGTAATCTTTGTGCCCAATGTGGGGCTCAAAATCATGACCCTGAGTTCAAGAGTCTTAAGTTCTACCAACTGAACCAATCAGGCACCCCAGCCTATATTTTTTAATGCCATAGAAAATAAGTTCTTCTACTTTACTTAAATGAATATTTATTCATTTAAAAGTACAGTAGTGTTGGTTGATGTTGAAAATACCTTATAACAGTTGAAATTGCCTTATAGGGTAAAAATTTAACAAAGAGCATTGATGGAAATGATTTGAAAGGTTTTCGAGATTGGAGAATTCTTACCTCATACCTGTCTGGCACACAGCCTTTTAAGATGTGGGGTATATCATCCACACACAATCCTACTCCCTCTTCCTCATGTAGCCCCATGGAGTCACACAACATAAATGGCAGATATTTGCCATCTTTCCCATCTTTAACAGAATAAATCCTATACTATAAAACAAAGTATATCAAATGTAAAAATTCGTTCTTCAACAAGCATTCAAGACATGACAATAGGAAGAACACAGGGTGGTTAATATCTAACACTGTGGTCCTCAAACATTTTAGTCTCAGGATCACCTGATACTCTTAAAAATTACTGAGAATCTCAAAGAGATCTTTATTTATGTAGATCATATCTACTGACATTTAACATACTAGAAACTGAAACTGAAATGATTTTAAATATTTCTTAAATCATTTTAAAATACAATTATGAATTTATTGCATGTTAACCCAAATAACATTTTTACAAAAAAATTACTTTCCAAAAAAATATTAAAAACAGCAGGATCAATTTAGTTTTTACAATGCTCTTTACTATGTGGATTAATAGAAGATAGCAGAATTCTCATACCTGCCTCTGAATTCAGTCTTTTGTGATAGATCATTTTGGTTGAAGTATATGAGGAAAACCTAGTCTCACGTGTATATATGTAGTAAGAAAAGGAGAGAGTATTTAATTTAACAGCTTTCAGAAAATTGTGGATATTCCTCATTAATAATGCATCAAAGCTCAACAAGTGATCATTTCTCAAAGGTTAGCTGTAATGTAGAATCTGTGATATTTTCATACTCAGTTACATTAAATTCATTGATCTATCCTACACTTTGAATACACTTTGTATCCATGCATGGCTTAGTAACCCAATGCATTTGTTTATTTGAAAATATTGGTTCACTGGCTTACCTAGATCTTCCAAATATTGGCACATTTCACTGGACAATATTAAAACATCATACTTTTTACTAGCACCGCTAATCTTACCAGATAAGTCTTTAAGTCTTAGGAAGTTATGAAGCTCAAAATGGTGGATACAAGCTGCTCAAAGTTCTAATTTTCTTTAAAACTCAAATGTTACCATTGGCAACAAACATCGTTGGTTGGTTGTTTTTCTTGAAGTGATATGCTCAGTTAGTGCATTTCCCATGAATTTCTACTGAATAGCTACGTATGAATAAGCAAGCCTGCCAATTGTCTTCTCAATTAAAAATGATGTTACCTGAGAAAAGTTCAGCTCACAACTCAATTGCACCAGTGTCTGCTCAGCAACCACCACATTTTGGCATGCCTTAGAAACCCTTTATATGTACTTCCCATTTCATCACACAAAATATTAAAATAATGTGTTCTCAAAAGCTGAGTTTAAATAAAATCCATGTTACTTATTCATCAGTTACATTCTTAAGTGAAAGCATTTTGTTTGTTTTTCCTGCAAGCTGAGTGGTAGAAAGGAATACAATGATTACTAACAGTGTTTGGTGCCATTACTTGATTTGTGCAAAGGTGCCAGGCAACAAATAAAACTACATTTGTATGATAAGTTCAAATGTCCATACCCTACAAAAAGCAAAACCATCTTAGTATTATTATGAAAATAATGTTAAACTCACAGACCCCATAAAATTCTCTCAGGGACACTCAGGGGTCTACAAACCTCACCTTGGGAAGCTCTGCTTTAACAAGTCGTCTTTCCTTAATAAACACACTCAATCTGATATCAAGAGTATTTCTCGGAACTCTGAAAAATCTTTATTGGTCAAATACACTTCCAAATAGGCACAACTACGGAAGATTTAGGCAGAATCACAAAGAAAAATGCTAACTCCAAGATACCAAACAACTTGAATCACAATTCTCCCATTCCAACCAGGAAGCAGAGAACCCCTCTATGACCTATAGTAATCTGTAATGAAGTCAAAAGCTCCCATTGGTCCATAAGTCCAATGCCTAGGAGCAATACCACTGGATATTTTGATCTAAGTAAACGGGACTTTATTGGTGCCTCCACCGGAAAGGAATTACACAAAGCAGTAGAGTCACGTACTTAAAGTGCACTGTGTAATTTTAGTATCACTAGGCACATTCATAGTTTTCATTAATTTGTTTCCTTCACAAATTGAGTTCTTCAAAGAGAAGGGTCCCTGAGCAATAAACTCCTGCTTCCTTGGGATGCCCGTGTGTCTCAGTCAGTTAAGCACCTGATTCTTAATTTGGGCTCGGGTCATGATCTGAAGGTTGGTGAGACTGAGCTCTGCCTCAGGCTCTGCACTGCCAGCACAGAGCCTGCTTGAGATCTTTCTCTCTCTCGGTCTCTCTCTCTCTCTCTCCTTTCCTCTCTTCTCTCTCTCTCTCTCAAAATAAGAAATAAATCATTTAAAAAATACATTGTTTCCTTGATAAATATTCTGTCCTGTATTCCTTCAGTTTATATAGTAGTATTTGCATTTCATTTGGACTTCAGGATCTACATCTTCTCTTAAAGTAATGTGAAAAGGAAGGAGATGAATCCTGTCCTGGTGAGTATCTCTACTACAGCATCTATCACAGTGAATAGTACTTATTTGTTTATTATCTACATTGAAATCCCTGAGTAATAAGACCAGTTATTTGTAGTTAGGTCTTTACTGCCAACACAGTATTTAACAGAAACATTTCCATCAATGCTTAATGTATTGAACTGCTGTTGCCGTATCTTTTGAGGCTAGACTAATACATCAAGATAAAGCCAGCCAAGTAGATAGAATCTAGCCAACCTCAAGAAATAAAATGTGTTTCTTGAAAATCATAGAAAATGCCTTCAGTTATTAAATGTGACACAAAACTAAAATGAGCCACGTCTGTCCGATGCAAAATTTTGTACTGACGGTGCACAGCACATTTCCAATCAGAAGATAACAATATTAGGTTGTAGCAATCCCAGAAAAATACAGTTTGATTATGAAATGTCCTATTCATTCCCCTTAATTTTTTTTGTTTGATTGTATAACATTGAGAAGCACAGAATGGGAGAAAGTTTTTCCACAATAATTTGTAGGTCTTTGGAGTAACAGTTTTAAAAATGGTATTAGTACTCCTATTTGCTTACAAATAGGATTGTGTTCACAGGACCACTGATAGATTTACCCTTTGAAGGTTGACTCACCAAAGTGAATTGTTGCCTTGCTTTTCATGATCATTTCTCATAAAATGGTTTTGTAAAATGGAAAAGTGTTTCATTATTTTATTACAAAAAAAAAAAGAGAAAAGAATTTCAATCCAGGTAAAACCACACGGGACATAAGTAAAAATACATTTCTAATATAACAGACAAAGACTTACACAAAGTTTTTTTTTTAATTTTAGGGTTGTATTCTACAAGTTTAAGCATTCTAAATATAAGTGCTTCTTGCGTGCATAAAAATGAAAAGCCTCTCAGTAAAACACAACTCAATGGAGGCAATTCAGATTCAACTTTTACTCCTGTTTTACATTTGATTTAGCATTTAATTGCTTGTAGGTGAGAAGGTTAACATTCCTAGAGAATGGCAAAGAAATGAACAAATCTAATACTTGTAATCAATAAAACAAAACCCTCAGGAAATCCTTGAGCAACTTACCTGTTCAGTAATGCTGGTGTCATCAGACCCCACTATGGCTTGGCGAGTCAGACGGCCTTGGAAAACAGACTTCACTGAATTGATAAAACTAGACTTTCCAGATCCAACTGGACCCAGCAAGAGAATACAAATTTCTGAAATCAAGTCTACTTTGGGCTTGAAGGCTCTGAGCTCTGCTAGAAGCCGATTCCTCTGCCTGTGAAATAACATGCAGAACTTAAAACAGCCACACCCCCAGAGGAACAACAGCACAATTCTCCTGGACCTTCTTTCCTTCCTTTTACAAGTATGTTGTAATTACTTATGTATTATTTGGGTATTAATGCCCATCTCTCATCTGATGTGAAATGGTCTATGGTTACACATTTTGTGCTTGAAGAAAATGCATTTATCTATATCTTAATAAAACTAAACTTTAACCAGCAACCAAATCACTGTTAAACTATTAGCCTTGACAACACAAGTCAGAGAAATATCAGCAACACTGAAGATGTGTGTTATTTCAGTAATAATATTATATTAAGGAGAAATAAAATATATACAATACAGATATTTATAAATTGGGGAAAGGAGGTTTGCTTTTATTTTTTTTTTTTATTTTTTTAATGTTTATTTATTTTTGAGACAGAGAGAGACAGAGCATGAATGGGGGAGGGTCAGAGAGAGGGAGACACAGAATCTGAAACAGGCTCCAGGCTCTGAGCTGTCAGCACAGAGCCCGACGCCGGGCTTGAACTCATGAACTGCGAGATCATGACCTGAGCCAAAGTCGGACGCTTAACCAACTGAGCCACCCAGGTGCCCCGGAGGTTTGCTTTTAAAACTTACTGAAATTCCCCCAAAACTTTATTCCCAAGGAAAGGCTTCAAAGGAATTATCTGAAATAGTCATCTAGAAATTTCTGTCTGGAAAACTTTGGATCTAGCCAGCTCAAGTGAAAAAGAAAGTCAAATTGCTGTCAGGTAGATTTTTAAAGGTTCACAGTTGGTAGTCATTCTATTTTTGCTGTTGCTGTAAATTGCCTCAAACGTATTATTTAAATAATATTATAATTCATTTTTATCACCCAAGTTATATTTTTTTATTTTATTACTTAATTTCCAATGTCATTTATAGAAGCGTTCTAAATAAAGTGAGTAATAGTCCAAAAACCTAACTTACTTTGAGGCTCTTGTTACCTTGCGCATATAGGTTGTATCATCCTTAATTCCTGTAGGAAATAAACATAGCATAATAAGGTTTTTAACTTGTCTTGCTAAATATGCCAAGTCAACCTTTTCAGTGGGGCAGCGAGTCTTCTTATATAAACCAGGGCCGAGCTGTCCAGTTAGGAGTTAGTGTTGGTAACTAACCTAGTGAAGAGAGAAAGGAAAATTACCCCCCTTCTAGGGAGGATAATGACCTCACTCTGCAAACTCTCACATAAGTATACCCAGAGGTCCTAGAGCTGACCCAAAAGGGGTCATATATCAAAACAAACCCCCGCTATCACTCACTTTCCATCTCCATCTCTCCACTTCCACTCCTCAACTGACTCTGTTCAAAGCTGTCTACACCTTCTGGGTAATACATCATAACCTTTATGCTTCCCAGGTTACATTTTGAAGTTTATGAAACAGTAATTTGATGGCATGAAACCTGACTGTTCCTCTCATTTATCCTTGTTCTTGTAGCTCAGTGATGACCAACAAATACAAAGAAAGACTAGAACCAGAATGTAGGAGTATCTCATTTAACCTACCTTCAACTCGAAAGACTTCATTTTCCAAATAAGTGAGGTCAGAGGAGATATGTACTCCTAATTCAGAGCTTAACGAAGGATGTATAGAAAGCTTGGTTTTGCTTGAATCTATACAGAACATCTCTTGATCAAAGGAACAAAATGTCAGTTGCCCAGAAGCAATTTTCACTTCTGCCTCCAGAACTGCAATTGCCATTTCTGTAGATTTATTCCTTTGAAATGAAAAACAGAAGGAGGGAATTGGCTCTCTGAACTCTATACCTCGTGCAGGATAATGCCCAGGTATAAAGACCCCAATAATCTTATCATAAAAGTAAAGAATTGTTATAGTAGATCCCTGAAGCTGGCACCTATCAAGCAAACTAAAACTTGTATGTCCATGGACACTAGACTTATGAAGAAGTCTCAAGGAGACGTTTCCAAGCAGCTTTTGCAGACTTTTCTCCTCATTCCATGTCAATCTCGTTGTCACTGCCATGATTTTCTGTATCTGATAGAAAAACAATAATAGGTTGAGAGACTAGTTAGTATACCACAGTGGCCTAAAGTACAGATTTCTGCTTCTTCTAGTTCCAGTGCGTTATTTTTTTCTCCGACCCAATTAAAACATGTTGGTTGGATTACAATGTAAAAAAAACAAAAAACAAAAAAAAACAAAACAAAACACACACACACAAAAAAACCAGAGATAGAACAATAATAGGTAGATATGGAAAAAAAACCCAGATAATTTAGAAATAAAAAATATCATTAAAATATCATTAAATTTTTTAAGTCAGTAGACAAATGGGCAACTAAATAAAGAATAAAGTAAAATTAAAATTAATAAATTAGAACACGGGTCAGCTAACTTTTTCTTAATGACAGATGTAAATATTTTAGGCTTTGTGGAACATATAATCTCTGCCATAATTAACTCAACATTGTCAATGTAATGCAAAAACATAGATGATATGTAAACAAATGGACATGATTATGTTCCAATAAGGTTTTTTTTTTACAAAAACAAGTGGGTGGTACACAGGTCATGGTTTGCCAGCCCATGAATTAGAAGATAGGAAAGGGGAATTTATACATAAAACAGTTCACAGAGCAAGAAATTGAAATATGAGAGGAGTTAATAGACATGGAGGTCCCACAGTGGCAGGATAGACCATGAGTCATCATGTCAATTCTTTCAATTCTTTCAAAAACTAGAACACAGGTTAAACTGTAAATATATATATTTGAAAGCATTGAAGAGATAACAAAGGAGTGAAACTATGTCATTGGCTAAGATTTGGAAAAGAAGTGAAGACGGAGAGGGAAGCTTGGCATTTGGGAGCACGTTTCCCTGAGGAGCATCTGTGAACTTTAGAAGAGGTGCCTGAGATGCTGAGAAGTTAGGCAAAACTTTTGCTAGACTCACAGAGCTAGGGGAATATAGTGCAAGAAAGAGGGTGCGTTGGCAATCTTCCTCCCAAGCTGTGGGCAAGGATTCTGAAGTGCTACAGGGAAGAAAAAAGGGTGGCCTAAAAATGTACAGACTTAATTCCATCTCCTGGTAATTTCAGTCTCTGAGTGGGTTCACATACATGAAGATTGCCTGTGCCTCTAGTTGGAAGGCAGGAGCAAAAACAAATCTTGTCTGGATGAAGCGAACATTTTTCTAGCTTCAAACTATCCCCACAATGTTTTTAGATTTAGTGACTCACATTCATCAGAAACACAAAGCAGGAAATGAAACAACATGATAGAAAACCAAGAGAAACAGCAAAATACAGAAATAAACCCATACTCTTTATTAATTTGTTTTGTTTTTCTAGATTCCACACATAAGGGAAATCAGACGGCACTTTTCTTTCTGACTTATTTCACGTACCATAATACCCTCTAGATCTATCCATGCTATTGCAAATGGCTTAGCTCATCTCTTTTTATGGCTGAGTAATATTCCACGGTGTGTGTGTGTGTGTGTGTGTGTGTGTGTGTGTGTGTACCTCACATCTAATGGAAAAACTGTCTCTAATGGAAAAGTAGTCAAAGTATATGAAGACATTCACAGATGAGGTAACTCAAATCAACTATAAACACATGAAAAAAATGTTCAACTGTTCTAGAAAGAGAGCTGTAAATTAAACAATAATGAGATAGCAGTTTACATCCAACAAGGGGCCAGCAATACCAAGTTGACCCAAATATGGAGATTCAGTAATATTCACATTGTTTTGATGGACATATATCATTTTGAGGAGCAAGCATATTCATGGCAGCTTTGTTTAGGATAAATTAGAAGCCTGGATATACAAATTTTGGCATATTCACACAATGAAATACTAAAGAGCACTGAAGTGACTGAACTAGGCCTATTTGTATCAACCTTAATAAAGCTCAAAAGACTAAGCAAGTTGAGAACAATACACTGAGTATGATAGCATTCATATAAACTGTTAACACAAAGCAATACTAGAGATCATGCTCAGATACAGAGGTATATGTGGCAAAAGCACAAAAACAAGCACAACAATAATTATACCGCAGTCTGGATAATATTTCCCTCTGGCAAGGAAGGGAAGAGAAAGGAGTACAGGAGAGATTCACAGGCAACTTCAACATTATCTGTAATGCTTTTGTTTTTTCAGGAGGAAAAAACTACTCTAATTAGATAAATCATCTTAAGAATCTGATAGAACTTACTCTCTAGCATTCCCTGTATTTAAAATTTTCATTAAAAAACACAACAAATGAAAGAGAAAAGTATGATCATTAGCAGCCATTTCACTCTGAAATTCATTTTCAAAGAAAGGAAAACGCAATTTTCTTTACACACAGCTAGGAAGCATCAGATGGCAAAAAAATCACTTACCTGGTTTTAAGAGTTGGATGAAGCTTAAATGTAGTCTTAGCTGGATCCAGCAGCCACAGTTTGGAGACAGAAGGTTCTGCCGAGATCTGTGGCATCTGTGTTTGAAAGAAAGGAAAGTGAAACTCAGCAGCCAGCATGAGAACGTCATTATGTTTCTTTTTCCTTGTTAGAGAGGAAGAGACAGAGAAAAGGAAAAAGAAACTAAGATTTCTGCCAAACCCATGAGAAAGATCTTTGGTCCCCTCTGTAGCCCACATGTAGGCACTCAGGAAATGATAATTAATAAAAACTGCAATAAAACCAATAGCCAACATTTCTGCACATTTTACTATGTGCTTGGCACTGTGCAACTGCTCGCATTTCCTAGTGTCTTCTCCAAACACGGTAAACACTCTTAGTATCTTTATTTCTCAAAGTATGCAAATGAAACTTAAGTGTGCAAGTTAATTCAGCTAACAGAGCGGCAGCACTGGCTGGTATTTAAAACCATCTTTCTACACTGGAACACACAGGTGAAAATTTGGCTCTTCCCTAATTCATTTATAAGGCAGTGCACAGCTTCTTTTCCCATTTACACATTCAGTCATTCAACAAGGGCTTAGACCCTGGAGAAGGATAATGCTGAGTAAGATAAAAATAGTGCCCTCAAATCGTATGCTGTGCAATCAGGGAGATGGTCAGGTACACAGATAGGTATATTAGTGTTCCAAATGCTGCAAGAGGAGTAAAAACAAGATCCCCTAGGGACTGGAGTGACAGTGGCCTCACCTAGCCTTAGGGCACTAGTAAAAGCTAGCAAAGCAAAGTTCAGACTGAGACATGAAGTTATAGTCAGGAAGAAACTTCCTTCTTTTCCTCCAAGGTTTTTCCAGCTGGTTTGGGAATTAAACTGAAGGGAGACAGATTGACAGAAGGAAAAAACAAAGTTTTATTATGTGTGCCTGGAAGCCCAATAATAAAATTGAGACTCAAAGAAATGACAAAACAGGCAGTTTTTATACAATTTAGACAAAAAGACAATCAATTTGTGAGAACTCGATGGGTTAAAGAAAACAGATGTTTGGGAACTTTAATTAGTAAGGAATTCTAAGTGGAATTTGGGCCAGGTAGCTATAGATTGGTAAACACACATACACATACCAAGGTCTATTTCTTCTGCTTTCTTGACTTTAAAGTCCTTATCTCTGGTGATAAGGATGTCTTTTTACTTCTTAGTACAGGGAGGATATTTTTTCATACGAGAGGTTTATTTTCTGCTTTCAGGGGGTCAGAGGTCTAAGGGTGTAAGTGTCCTTACACCGGCTATTCCGCAAGTAGCTTCAATTCAAAATAATCAGTATGTCATTGTGGTACATTTGGGGGCAGCCCACAGGGGGCCCCTACAAAGTCCAAGAAAGAAGTGAAGCAAGAGAAAGCGTAGTGTCATCAGAGGCCTCCACACATTTCTCGTGGCTGGAATGGATTGAACTGCATCGAACTGGCAGGCAATGAGGCGAGGGGGCTGATTAGGATTGTAAAAGTCTTTATTTAAGCTGGATTTTATCACGAAGACAATATGAAGACTCCAAGGCAGAGTAATGGCATGATCAAAACTGAATGTCAGAGAAAGAAGAGTTAGTTTTTCTGGACTTGTAACAAATAATCATACACCTAGAGGCTTTAAAACAACTCACACTTATTATGGCACAGTTTCCGTGGATCAGGAAACCCAGCAAGGTTCAAATGGATTTTCTGCTCAGGGTCTCTTACTCCAGGTATCGGCCAACTGTCTCCTGTAGCAGGATTCTTGCAGAGTCGTGACACGGAGGCGTTTCTCTCCAGGAAGCAACTTTATGTGCCGGCACAACTCAGTTGGGTTCGTACCCAAAGAATTGAGCCCCAAACACCATGTGGTGTAGTTTTTTTTTTATACATTTTACTTCTTTGTCTCCCATATATGTAACACACAAACATGTAGTCTGATTAAGCGGTCTCACGTTACAAGGTTGTGAGGGATGCTGTCATGTACACGTATAACCAAGTTGCCTTGAGGTTTTTGTTTCGTTTCGTTTCGTTTCATTTCTTTCCTTAGGGAGGGGACACTGCTTCAGTCCCATCTTTCTCTGGGAAGGAATCTGATTGAAAGCTCATTCGGGTTATTGGCAGAATTTAGTTCCTTGTAAGTGTAAGACTGTGGTCTCCTTTTCTTCACTGATTGCCATCCTGAAGGTACCTTCAGCTCCTAGAGGTTGCTCCCAGTTTCTTGCCAATGGCCTTTGCATTCAGCTGATACAACATGGCAGCAACAGAATCTCCAAAGTCAGCAGCAGAATCTTCTCTGTGTCAAACCTCCTTCATGCCTTGAGTCTCTGCCTTCAGAAAGATTTCCCTCTCTTATAAGGGCTCACCTACACCTAATTTTTTCAAGGTCACTGAAGAGAATCTCTTTCTTAAAGACAATAAATGAATCATGGAAGTGATATCCCATCATTTTCGGATTTCTGCCATACTCAAGGGGAGGGAGTTGTACAAGGAGGTAGGCCATTGGGAGGCCACCATAGATTTCTGATTATAACAAAGGACAAGACTAGAATCAAAGAGACTAGTTTTTAGCCTTTTGCATTTACTCATTAACCCATTCATTCATTCATTCATCCATTCATCCATCCATTCTTTCCTCTTTCAGTAAAAAAATATATTGAGCACCAGTATACCAAACTTTGTGCTAAACTCTGGGGACATAAACAGACATAGATTATATGCACATTAAACCAATGTGGAATGAGGGGTTCCTGGGTGGCTCAGTCAGTTGAGCGTCTGACTTCGGGTCAGGTCATGATCTCGCGGTTTGTGAGTTCGACCCGTGTCCGGCTCTGTGCTGACGGCTCAGAGCCTGGAGCCTGTTTCAGATTCTGTGTCTCCCCCTCTCTCTTTCCCTCCCATGCTCATGTTCTGTCTCTCTCTGCCTCTCAGTAATAAATAAATGTTTAAAAAAATTAAAAATTAAAAAAAAAACAATGTGAATTGAGATTAGGTGAGGCAATGACTGAACCTAAAATTAGGATTAGGTGCAATAAAGAATTTAAGGCAAATACAATAATCTTTTGGTTCTTTTAAAAATATTTTTAGTTATGGGATGCCTCAGTGGCTCAGATGGTTAAGCATCCAACCCTTGGTTTCGGCTCAGGTCATGACCTCACAGTTCCTGAGTTTAAGCCCCACGTCAGGCTCTGTACTGACAGTTCTAAGCCTGCTTAGGATTCTCTCTTTCTCTCTCTCTCTCTCTCTCTCTCTCTGCCCCTCCCATGTGCTACTTCTCTCTTTCTAAAAATAAATAAACTTTAAAAACATATATCTGTATTTAGTTATTAAACACTAGGCAATGGAATGTGAAAAGGCTACTTGCACAGAAAAACCACAGGATGAATTAATACCATATAGGCTGAATGAGGAAGTAACATGGCCATCTTTTTTGAGCTACTACAGTACTTACAAGATCTGCTGTGTATACCTTTCATAAGTTAAAAATATGAAAAAAAAATTGCACCAAAACCCATAAAATACCCAGGAATAAACCTAACCAAAGAGGTGAAATAATCTATACACTGAAAAGAAAGTTTATTAAAGAAATTGAAGAAGACACAAAAATATGGAAAAACATTCCATGCTCCTGGATTGAAGAACAAATTTTGTTAAAATGTTGATACTGCCCAAAGCAATCTACATATTCAATGCAATACCTATCAAAATAACAGCAGCATTCTTCACAGAGCTAGAACAAACAATCCTAAAATTTGTATGGAACCAGAAAAGACCCCAAATAGACAAAGCAATCCTGAAAAAAAAAAAAAAAAGACCAAAGCTAGAGGCATCACAATCCTGGACTTCATGATATATTACAAAGCTATAATTATCAAGACAGTATGGTATTGGCACAAAAACAGACACATAGATCAGAACAGAATAGAGAACTCAGAAATGGGCCCACAAATATATGGCCAACTAATCTTTGACAAAACATGAAAGAATATCCAATGGAATAAAGACAGTCTCTTCAGCAAGTGGTGCTGGGAAAACTGGACAGCAACATGCAGAAGAATGAACCTGGACCACTTTCTTACACCATACACAAAAATAACTCAAGATGGATGAAAGACCTCAATGTAAGACAGGAAGCCATCAAAATCCTAGAGGAGAGAGCAGGCAAAAACCTCTTTGATCTTGGCCAAAGCAACTGCTTACTCAACACGTCTTCGGAGACAAGGGAAACAAGCAAAAATGAATTATTGGGACTTCATCAAGATAAAAATCTTCTATACAGCAAAGGAAACAATAAGCAAAACTAAAAGGCAACCGACGGAATGGGAGAAGATATTTGCAAGTGACATTCAGATAAAGGGTTAGTATCCAAAATCTATAAAGAACTTATCAAACTCAATATCCAAAAAATAAATAATCCAGTGAAGAAATGGTCAAAATACATGAATAGACACTTTTCAAAAAAAGACATCCAGATGGTCAACAGACATGAAAAGATGCTCAACATCACTCATCATCAGGGAAATACAAATTAAAACCACAATGAGATAGCACCTCACACTTGTCAGAATGGCTAACATGAACAACTCAGGCAACAACAGATGTAGGCAAGGATGCAGAGAAAGAGGATCTCTTTTGCACTGCTGGTGGGAATGCAAACTGGTACAGTCACTCTGCAAAACAGTATTAAAGTTCCTCAAAAAGTTAAAAATAGGGGCGCCTGGGTGGCTCAGTCAGTTAAGCGTCCGACTTCGGCTTAGGTCATGATCTCACGGCTTGTGGGTTTGAGCCCTGCATTGGGCTCTGTGCTGACAGCTCAGAGCCTGGAGCCCACTTCACATTCTGTGTCTCCCTCTCTCTCTCTCTGCCCCTCCCCCACTCATGCTCTGTCTCTCTCTCCTTCAAAATAAATAAACATTAAAAAAAATTTTTTTAAGGGGCGCCTGGGTGGCGCAGTCGGTTAAGCGTCCGACTTCAGCCAGGTCACGATCTCGCGGTCCGTGAGTTCGAGCCCCGCGTCGGGCTCTGGGCTGATGGCTCAGAGCCTGGAGCCTGTTTCCGATTCTGTGTCTCCCTCTCTCTCTCTGCCCCTCCCCTGTTCATGCTCTGTCTCTCTCTGTCC